TTCAAAAGAACCAGCTCAACAATACGCTGACCAGATGCTGCACTACGAGCTGGAAAATGATGTCGGAAAAGATGCTGTAGAAGTTAGAACCGAGTCTGCTTGTAAGGAATTGTACAGTGGCGATGACAGGAGTACTCCTCAAGTGCTGAATAGTCAAGTGGACGATTGGACCGAAACAACTACAATCGTCGGTGAGAAGGCTTGGATCCGTGCTTTCTAAGTTAACTCTTGAAACATTTAATCCAGGTGAAACATTCGGGAGCTTGTTTCCTAAAGAAGAAAGAAGTCACGAAGGTTTGCCACTTTAACATGCTTGCTTTCTTTCTCACTCGCATTACAGGAGGAACTTTTAGACGACTATAAACAAGGTTAAAATTGACTGGAGTGCTCTACGGAGTATGAAGTCAAGGCAAGTTTTGTTTGTATGCCAATATTTCTTCTATTTGGTCTCCTAAATTCTTCTATGCTTGTTGATTGCAGATAGTTGAAATGAAAATGATGATGCTAAACATGAAATCTCAGTATCGGCAGCAGATGACCCGGAAAAGGCCATATCAATGTGAAACTTCTACAGCTGCCAACGATGAAAGAGTTTTCCTTGGTTACAAGCAACCAAGCGAAACAAAACGTTGATTTTCTGAAGAAGCAAATGCAAAAGCTTAAGCAGGATAAAGAAAATTTGAGCAGGGAGCTCTTTTCTATGAAAAAGAAGCAGAGGTACGTGTGTCATCATACCAAGCCCGCTTCTCGAACTAAATTTCTTGCCAGGCAATCTGAGAAGCAGAAGAAAAGCCTTGATGACGCATTGGATAAAGTCTCAGGTCAGCAGACTGCAATTCCAGGAACTAAAACAGTATAATGTTCCAAATACCGGTGCTAAACTATTGGGCTTAGTTTAATGATTTCAAAGAACTGGTAAGATTAGACGAAGAGATATTATCCAAGAAATTGTAAGTTATAAGTTTTTCTTTTCGAATTTGTTAATTTCACCTCTTTTTTTTCAATTTTCCCAATTTATCTCATCTATCCGACTTGGCTTTAATTAACTTCCTTTTGCTAAGGTTTTTGTTTATTATATTAACTTCTACTTGGTTTTACTTGGATTGAGCTATTCATTACATAAGTAATAAGCTATTCATTCATAAATTCATAAATTCTTTCTCAATCCCTTTTCCCAAGTTTAATTGGACTTAAAGTTTGGTTACATTCCTTGCAAGCATAAATAACTAAGAACATGAAACATCCAAATTCTTAACATCCCTAAGTACAATAAAATTTAATCATAAAACCCTTTAAATCCCAAGCCTTAAGTGTATCTATTGTTTTGGGACTTTGGGGGGAAATACTATAGCCTAATGGCTTAGTATAAAGACCTCTATTCCCCCATTTCTATCCTAAAAAGAAGGCCCAAGCCTTTATGAAGGAGTGAGATTATATGGTATTTTAGTGGGGCATTACTTCACATGAATTGGGACTTTCTCTTGAGCATTTCCTTAGGTGACTTTTTTAGCATTATTTGATTTTGTGCTCACTCCCACCCAATGCCATTAACTCCTAGTCTCAACTTCAATTCGATTTAAAAGCACCATTAGAAAGTTCCTTTAAGATTGAATCCCTACTATATTTTTGGAATCCCTTGTAGCCCCCTTTGGGAAATGATTACTTTGGGCTTTCACCCTATGACCTGAATTAGTATTCAGACTCAGTCTCAAATTTTATTTCAAACTTAGTCTCATTTGATGAATTCTTGTGAGACACAAAATCCCTAGGCCCCAAAGTGGAGCCGAAAGGGTGCCACGTGGTAGTGGCCGAAGCGAAAGCCAAACGAGCGTAACACGTTTAGACCAAAAGCTCCGACATGAAAAATCGAAAGCGGGAGTGAAATTCTTAACAAAGTGTTCGAGGAACGAGCATGAAACAAGCAATAAGCGAGGCTCCAAAAAAGGACCCAAAAGGACCAACACATGACACATGGAAGCGTCCAAGATGGACCCGAGATGGATCCAAGTTGGAGTCTAAGGTGGAGTCCAAGATGGAGTTCGAGATGGAGTCCGAGGTGGAGTCCGAGATAGACCCGAGATGGACCCGAGTTGGAGTCTAAAGTGGAGTCCGAGGTGGACCCGAAATGGAGTCCGAGTTGGAGTCCGAGGTGGAGTCCAAGATGGACCCGAGATGGAGTCCGAGATGGACCCAAGATGGAGTTCAAGATGGAGTCCGAGTTGGAGTCCGAGGTGGAATCCGAAATGGACCCGAGATGGACCCAAGTTGGAGTCCAAGGTGGAGTCCGAGGTGGACCCGAGATGGAGTCCGAGATGGGACCGAGACCGAGACCGAGACTGGGACCAAGATCGGGACTGAGACCGAGACCGAGACTGAGACCAAGACTGAGACCAAGGCTGAGGCCAAGACCGAGCCCAAGCCCGAGTCCAAGTCCGAGTCCGAGTCCAAATCCAAGTTCGAGTCCGAGTCCGAGAAAGTGAAAGCCCAAAGCGTGCGTCTCCCAGACCCTGGGGGGTTTGGTGAGCTCCAAAAGTATAGTGGGGGGAGGACTGCAATGGAGCCAGTTTGGCCAGGAAAGGCCAGTTTGGCCCAGGAAAGCTGTACCCAGTGTTGGGTGATGAGTTGCCCATTGGAAAGTCCAAGACTAGAGTGAACACAGACCGACAAGCAGGGTAGCTTGGTGAAGTGTTCAAGAGCCGGCTCTAGTTCCCCCGGGAGATCGACTGGCTGATGCTTTTAGTCCAAGTGTGGGTGGCACTACTTACTTGGATACCTGGTGTGGCTCAACGGAACCTCGCTCTAATCCCACGGCTAAAGCACCCAAAGGCAGAAGGTGGGGAGAGTACCCACGAGGCTCGCATAAGGCCACGGTGTTCCGAAATGTCGTCCCAAAGGCCTAGACTGTGGAAAGGAAGAGGAGTAGTCCTCTAGAGTAGAGACCAAAAATACAGCTGTGTGGTGAGGAAGTCCCAGAGGACCGTGGGACTTAGTGGTCGGGCTTGTGGGCCTCGATCTAGTGGCAGTGTTGGCAAACACGGCCATAGGTAGAAAGGGACTTGGTGGGGACTGGAAAAGGGATATTGGGGAAGGCTATTCCTCATGTGTAAAGCTCCTATGTTTGGACTTCCCGGGAGATCACCCAGCCCAGTACTATTCAAACCCAAGGACACTTAACCCCAAATATCCCAAGACCCTTAACCGATTGGAAAAAGGGGTGCACTCTTGTTCATGGGCCCTTTCCCTCTATATTTGAACCCCTATGGATCGTTTCTCAAGTCATTCCCTTTAGTTGCTTACATCATGTTTGTGGGCATCTTAAGGATGATAAGGAGTGGATTTGGGATGATCACTCATGGATGGATAGCTCAGTCTTTGAGAGATGGGACTGTGATGTAGATGGTGCCAGACCACCAATGTGACTAAGGTGAATGGGCATGGCCTTAGTGTAACAGGTTGATATGTCGGTGGTACCTTGGGGTGTCGATCATGGGATTAGACACGTGGAGCACTTAGACCAAGTGCAATGGTTGAGTGGCATGGATGCCATTCTTGGGGTTAGTAAGTCCCTAAGTCTAAAATAGGATTTATGGAGGTTATGAGTGAGACTCCTCCAAATGGTTGGAAGTGTGGTTGAGTGACTAAAGTAGAATGGAATTTACAATTCTTTATCGTTTTAGTTATGATTTCATGGATCCTTTAACCTGTAACACATAAAGGAGTTGATTCTTTATAACTCCACCACCTATAAAAGAAATTTGATTGAATGTCTTTATTTAATTTTACTACATATTAAGCATTTCTTTGAGGACATCTCCCCACTCCCTAGCTAAGAGTTCATGATAACAAGATATAGGTGTTCCTATACCCCTTATCTCATCTTCCCTAGTAAAGGGTTGGGACTTGAACCCAACCTTTGTTGAATACATTTACGGATTTGATATCCCCTTAGGGAGTTGGGTGTAACTCCTTATGTCTCATTAACCTATGCTAATTAGCTTTGGCAGGTCTTTAGGTCCTAATATATAACATTACTCAATTTCACAAATAAATACTTTAATTAAACTTTACATAAGTACATAAAGTTTTACTTATTCCTTCACTAGATCTCAAGTGTTGGCTACATTCTCTTTCGGTTCCCATGTTGCTTTGTAGAGTTGAACTCTTTTCCACTTTACATGAAATTCTTTCACCTCACGTATTTATTGTTAATGTAAGCAATTAAAAAAAACAGCTTAAAAGACAATTTATAAGGGTTCAAATATAGAAAGAAAAAGCTTATGAATAAAAGTGCACCTTTTTTTCTAATTGATTAAAAGTCTTCAGATATTTAGGGTTAAGTGTCTTTGGGTTTAAATTGTGATATCATGGGAAGTCTAAATTCAAGAGTTTACAATTAGCCCTTGTATGCATTAAGGATAGCTTTATCCTTATGTTCCTTCTCTTTTTGGATAACTTAATCTTTGCAAAGTGGGTCCTCAAAATACTATTGACATATTAAACATTATTATGACACTCTTCTAAAGCTACATTTTTTAGTTCCTTTTGTGAAACATACACTCTCACTTGCTTATAATAAATGAGTCTACAGTTCACATAACATATTTTCTCTTTCTTAAATGACTCACTTTTCTAATGAGCATCCTATGCCTCTTGATTCCTTAACAACATGCTAGACCATCATCCTCATACATTATCTATATATCATTTCCAAAAGTTGCTATTACATTGGATATCATTAACTTTTAAGTTTATTTTTCAACTTAAAACATTTACCATGATATTATTCTTCCTAAGTTTATAAAAAATCTCACAATTAAACTTAGCCAAAATAATAGCCCATTAACCTTGTTTTCCCGTTTACTGCTCCAAAACTTGTTCCTAACACAATTACATCCATCAATGCTAGCTAGAAAACTCCTCATGAAGCAAAGTACCTTGAAGCTTGCCACCAGGAGAGTGGGGTTCAACTGGACATAGCTCTCAGCAATGCTCTCATCAACATGTTTGGCAGTAGCAACCAGGCTTGTGAAGCTTGGAAAGTTTTTGATGCAACTCATAACAAGAACATTGTCTCCTGGAACGCAATGCTGTCAGCTCACTCTCAGAATGGACACTTCGAAGAGACAATCGCACAGATGGCCTTGACGAAGATGGTGAAGCCCAATAAGCTTACATTCGCATGTGCAAACCTCAAGAACCTCCGGGAAGGAAAGCTAGCACACGCAGCAGCAGTGGAAGCTGGCCTGGAGTTCGCAGTGCCCGTCGCTGCTACGCTCATCCAGATGTACTCCAAGTGCCACTGCCTCGAAGAAGCCAGGGACATTTTCAGCCAGAGTCCATCCTCGGACGTGGTAGCATGGACTGTTATGATCTCGGCCTATGCTCAGAACTGTCGACCCCAGGAAGCCATTGCTCTTTTCCGCATGACAGTGCCACCAGATAGTGTGGCCTTCGCCACTGTGGGAGTTCCGAGAACTTGGAGGCCGGGAGAGCGATCCGATCTAAGATCGTGGAGCTCAGGCTGGACGCTGAGAGGGTGGTGGCCAACGCAGTGCTGGACCTCTATGGCAAGTGTGCCGAGATTGTCGAGACAGTGGAGATCTTCGGCAGGATGAGGCAGCCAGACAGAGTTTCGTGGAACACTATGGTGGCGGTGTATGCCCGAGCCAGGCATACCGCCGGGAGCTTGTGGTGCTTCCGGGCGATGCAGCTGGAGGGTGTTTGTCGGAGTGAGGTGAGCTTGGTGAGCGTGCTCTTGGCGTACAGTCACGCAGGGGCTGCCAGTGCTTCGCCTCCATCGTGAGTGACTATAAGATGGTTCCATCACGCGAGCGGCAGGGGTGTGTGGTGGATCTCCTGCCCCGAGCGGGGTCGTGGATTTCGGAGGATTTGATCCGGGCGGTGGCTCCATCCACACCGAGCTCCGAGCTGTGGAAGGCGGTGTTGAGCGCTTGCAGGATCCACTTGGACGTGGAGCTGGGCGAGTGCGCGGCTGCTTGCGTTCTCGAGATGGGTCCTGGTAGTGACTCGGCTCATCATTTTGTCCAACATCTATGGATCATCGAGTGTGATCTTCGAAATTCATGCATAGAAACTTCTCATAGAAACTTCTCCTTGAGGACTTTTCTATGTTGACATTGAGTCTGAAATGATTCTAGGCTTGTGAAGAAACCATGCGGTGGCAAAGGAGGACATGGTCTTGGTTCCTGCGACGCCTTCCTTGGTATGACTTCGCAATGGCGGTCTCGAAGGTTTAGCCGAGAATCCCGAGCGGCTTCTTTTCTGGTGATGCATCCACGGAAGACTTCGGGCCGAGTGGATAAGCACGAAAAATTGTAAAGAAGTCTGAACAGAAAGGTGGCGTGCCAGCGACCTGAAAAATGGTCGCGTTTTTCTGACAAGTCAGTCGATTCTGTGGCGAGTTTGGTGGGAAGACCATGTCATTGCGACTTCAAATATGGGACCCCAGGAAGTAACTCGGATGCTCCGGATCATCTCAGCACTCAGTGGTATAAATTCGCAAGCTTTTCTCGAGATCGATCGCCAATTTAGAGGTTTGCTTTGCTCTTACTTTGCTCTACGATGAGGCGATTTGGAATGATGTTCCTGGTGCTCTTGGCGCTGGCAGCGGTGGCCACGGAGGTGGAGGCGCAGCAGCAGTGCTTCCGCGAGCGTGCATGCCGGCCGGGAGGATTGAGCTGCGATTCCTACTGCAAGTCTTGCCATTTCTTCCAAGCGGGCCAGCGATGCGTCAAGTGCAAGGGCGGGAGCTGCACCCTGTTTGGAAGATGCATCTGTGATGCACCGTGCAGATTCTCAAACTGCCCAACGTATTCAGGCTAGAAAACAGCCTGACTCTGACTCTGTTGCTTGCTTCTCCGAAGGTGTGTTCTATCTTCATGAAATAAAAGATGTGTTCGGTGTCAGCTTAAGTTAATAAAAAAGAGGGACAAAATTACTCGCTTTAAGGAAGGGTAAAGTTTAACATATAAAGCAAAACCCTGTTAGGTATTTGCTTTCATAGTAGATGGCACAGTTGAAATCCACGGACGTCCTGTTGGAGATCAAGCGGAAGGATGTGAAACCCAGTTTACTTATCCGGGTAAGCAGAGAAAGGAGCTGGCTGACTTTGCTTTTGCTGCCAGTTTATGCAAGCTTTCGGGGTCCTCGGTAGGCTAACTAGAGATTCATTTCTGTTTTATTCACGGGTGCTTTGGAGCAGTTGTCGAGTCTTGCTATCCCTTATCATAAGATGCTGCTATGAGCTTGACAACAAGTCGTTTCCTACTCTGGAGCCCAGTGCCGCTCTTTGCTTTGATTCACGCTCCAAGGGCGAAGTCCTGGAGCTGCTCATCGGGTTTGGCGAGCAGCTAGAACGTTTTGCGCATCTGGTAACTCCTTTTTTTCGCTCATTTTGTATGCAACACCCAACTGTGGTGTTCACTGGGTTTATGGAAGGCCTAAATGCTCATGCTGTTGGTAAGCTAACAAGCACCAGTTATGATTTTCACATCCTAGGTGAGCCGCCCTTCTTTCGAACTGCAGCTCGGAAACCTTGATCAGGTTGCGAACCACTGTTGGTCCATGCAGCACGACCGGTAGTCGTAACTCTTTCCGTCCATGCTGGATCTGCAGTGTCTCTTGATGACGTGCCAGATGATTGCTCTGCACTTGTCTATTGTGGAAGAGCTTTCCTTGGTGAGGCCGGATCATTCATTCGTGCTTTCCGTAACCGTCTTGTTTCTAGTGTCTATGGATGCTAAGGACGGACCAACACTATCCGGCATGGGTTTGCAGGAGGTGTTTAAAATGGCAGGGGCGCTCATGGCCACCGGCGCGACTCGGCTGATCCGCGGGGCATTTGACATTATCGAGTTGGCAATAAATCGTGACTGCCTTGTTTATACAAGTCAGTGCTATGGTTCTACGTTCAAGCTCGTTAAGGTGAGTTATATGTATTTGCAACTAAGTTAATCGTGCTTAGTAGCGAAGCCATCAAGGTGGCGCACTTGCTTATTACCGATTTTGCAATCTGCAAAAAGGTAACCTTGTCTTTGTGGTAATGCTCAAGCTCACGATTGATTTGGCAGTTCTTTCTCATGCTAACAATACCCAAGGGCATTGACAAGTGGCCGGTGGGAAAAGGAAGGCCAGGAGAAGACGTTCGCTGTTTGCTTTCGCCCTCTATCCGGGCTCTGATGAAACCAGCCAGCAGTTCCTCCAGGTTTGCTCTAATCGGGGAGTCGACCAACAGTTGCAACGTTGAAAGACTGAGCTCATATTTTGCGTGCTACAAGGTGGCGAGTACTGTGTACCTGTCCTCATGTTTAAAGATGATGTCCCTGCGAGACTCACTCGGTTGCAGGCGAAACGAATTACACTGGGCTTTTTGGTGCAGAGGAGCAGATTCGAAGAGTTAAACCTGCAATCTATGGAGGTCAAAGTTGATCGTGGTGCTTCTATAACGCGTAGAAGTGCGGTTCCCTACCTCGAGCATGCTCTACTGGCGACGAAGGACACCAAGTTTAGGCCTTTCTAAAACGCATGTAAGAAACTGTACGGTAGATAAACTGTACGAAGGCCAAGTTTCTATAGAACCCTAAAAACATACGGTAGATTTTAAACTCCATGAGTTGTACGGGTATGGGTCTAGGGCTTAGTGACCGTCCTTGGGTGATCAAGGTGTTGAGCGCAGGGATGAGGCCCGGATCTCGCCGTCGGCGCTGGCATTTTGGGATACTGCATTCTAGTAGCAGCGAACAGTGTTGATTCGGGCAAATGCAGGGAGCTGCGTCGGCTGCGCCACAGGCGGAGGCGATCCTGGCATGGCTGCAAGAGGAGATCGGCTACAGATCGGCTGGGGATCACGCATTGCCGTCGCCCGAGGCGCTGCGGCGGCTGTGCCGCGGAAATATGCTGCCCGTGTGGAAGTTCTTGGTGGAGAGGGTGAAATCCGACAAGACGGTGGAGACTGTGCGGCGGAACATCCTCGTCCATGGCGGGAGCAGTGGCGCCGCGGAAGAGAGTGGCGATGGGAAAGCCAGGGAGGAGGGCGGCGCCGCTGCCACCACCAAGGCCGGGAAGAAGAGAGGCGATGGGAAATTCAAGGGGAGGGGAGAGAAGACCCCCGCTGCCGCTGCCAAGGAGGAGAAAGAACGCGAGAGCAAGGCTCTGGAGGGCGATGATTCGAAGGAGCGAGCTCTCGCGGAGAGGGATTCCGCGGAGAAGGAGGTGGAGAGATTGAAAGGTGTGATGGCGCGGCTGCAAAAGGACGTGAAGAGCAGGATGCTGGATCTCTCTCGCGAGGAGGGCGAGCGCCAGCGAGTTCTGGATGACAAGTTTAATTCGAGGTAAGAACTATAGATCTCTCGAAGTTCTTTAGAACTAAGTTCTTACCTTTTTTTCTTCTTTTTTCTTTCTTGGAAACCAGGCACAAACAAGTCCAGCTTGAATCGTTCGATCAGCGATGCGAGCAGACTGTGCGGATCTTTGCCGAGTACCGGCGAAGATTGGCAAGGTATGTCGACCGTGCTCGAGAGGCACAAAGAGGGAAGCTTGCGGAGTCCAAGAAAGAGCAAGACACAGTGTATGCAACGTCGATCAAAGGTGACGATCAGATCCTCATAGAGACTGCGCAGGAAAGGAGTATAAGAAAGGCATGCGAGCTGCTATCGGCACAGCTTACTGAGAAGATCACGCTCTCGTTTCCCTCGTACGAAGGACGAGAGAGCCAAGGTGACGCTCAGGCCACCGAGGTTGCAAAGCTCGGGTTTGAGGATGGAGAAGGCGTGGCTGAGGATATCAGGGAGGCTGCATTGAGCCTCTTGAAGAATCCAACGCAGCTCTTGCGGGCGATGGCGACTTATACTGCTCGAGTCGTTGCTTTGATCACCAAAGAAACGGAGAGGATCGACATCCGAGCGGACGCGGAGAAGCTAAGGTTTGTGAGTGCTGCTAATCTGCATGAGGTGTAGGATTCTAACTTGGTGTTTGTACCAGGTACAAGTACGAGAACAACGAAATAGTGGACGATTTGTCCACTGAGCCAGAAGATTCACCACTGGGCAAGAAGCTTAGCGGTAAAATTGGATTGGAGATGTCTAATAGGAGAACGAATTGGCAGATTCGCGAGAGACAGGTATAATGCAAGTTGTTTTTATCTTTCTTCTAGTCATGAAAGTGTCTTTTGCGTTGCAGAAAGCTCATGTTCAGCAGTTTATGGCAACGGAAGAAGCTCTGAACGAAGCTGCGGAGGCCAAAGCTGCAAGCGACAAGTTAATCAAGTCGCTCAGTGGTGGAACGGAGCTCGACTACGTCCAGAACGAGGGAGGGCTTCGCCAACTGGAGGTAACTAATCTTCTATTTCGTGCGTCGAGCTAGGCCGTTTGTTACTTAGTGCGAGGTGTGGGCCAAGGAGCGGCAGTTAGCTGGTGTCAAGGCAAGCGTAGCGACACTCATGTCGGAGGTTCAACGTTTGAAAAAGCTATGCGAAGAAAGAAAACAAGCGGAGGATTCCCTGAGGCAGAAGTGGAAAAGAATCGAGGAGTTCGACGCCCGCCGCAGGGAGCTGGAATCTGTTTACACGGCGTTGATCCGAGCTAATATGGTAAGCAGCAGCTTAGCATTTCATAGGCAAGTTTGGCAGTCTGGAAAAAATCTCACGAATAATTTGTAGGCAGCTGCTGCTGCGTGGGAGCAACATCCAGCCGTAGCATTCGAGCATTCTGCCAACACAATACTTCCTGTCTGTAATATGGTACAAGAGAAGACCGTGGGTGCTCAGGACCTCTTAGAAAGAGAAGCCACCATTTTTCAGAGAAGCCCGGACAACCGGCTGTATATGCTGCCTGTCACACCTCAGGTGTGTGAATTGGAACTTTTTCTTTCTCTGCTCATGGCTGGTTTGTTTTTTAAAAAACTACAGGCACTCGTTGAAGCCATGGGAATCAGCTCTATGCTAGGCCCTGAAGCGATAGCGGCAGCGGAGAGAAATGCCGACATGGTTGCTGCCAGAGCTGGTGCAGGCGACCCTTCAGCGATGGCGTCAATCTGCCGGATAGCTGCAGCATCACAATACTCGCAAGGTATGTAAATTTGTTTCATCTGTCAAACAAGTTTTCTTTTTCTTTTTTTTCCGTATTGTAGGAGCTGAAGCACAAGATGCTGGCATGATAGCCATTGTGGAAGCGCTGAGGTTCTGTCTCAAGCCTTGCTCTTCTCCGGCGAGCCTTCTGGAAAACCTGGCGCGCTCCATCAACTTGGTTCAGACGCTGAGAGACCTCGTTGGCAGCGGACGAGCTCTTTTGACAGCAGCAAACATCTCCAGACCCGACTACGAAAAGTAAAGAACAAAAACACCATTTCCAATTCTCACTCCTTTGGATGCTTTGCTCCAGAACTGCGAATGCGTGTGCTGTGACAACCAAAGAGCAGGAGCTCATTGCTCTCGAGGAATGGCTACCGAGTCTCAAACACGCGGTCCTCGAAGCGCACAAGTGCCTGGAAGATTGCCATCGAGTTCGCGGCTTGGTAAACTTACGCCTCGTTTCATCATCTGGATTTGACACGAGATTTACTTCTTCTCGCGCAGGTGAACGAGTGGTGGGAGCAGCCAGCCGCAACCGCGGTGGATTGGATCACGGTCGATGGCCAAAACGCTGCTGCCTGGCTCGCTCACGTCAAGCAGCTCCAAAACGCCTTTTATGAAAAGCAGCTGCTGTGACGAGATTTTGATGGGAAGAAGCGCTCTTCCTTCTGTAAAGCGTCTAAGCTCAATTTTTTTTTCAAAAGTAGTGGAAGTATACAATTTACCGTTGCCACGTAAGCATTAAAAACCGTTGCGACCTTATTGGGGAATATTCGCCAATTTGGCGCCTCAAAATTAGGGCTAGGACTCTTTAGGGTTCTTGGAGCTCGGCGATTTGATCGCACGCCGTGTTCGTCACAATGCATCCCGCTGTGCGTGTCGCCACAGCGGGCCGCATCGGCTATCCCGTGAACTATGATCCGGGGGATCACGTCATGCCGCCGCCGCCGCAACATGTATGGGCATTTTCTTCGATTTCCGGTTTCTTCGATTCGGTCCTGCTCGATGTCCGGCGTCGTCGCGTTCTGGTCTTGATTTTCCTGGAGCACCGGGATAGATCCAAGGATGAGAATGGTGAGGGGTTTTATTTCCTGTGTAGGCCAAAGAAATCCATGACTTTGTGGATATTGAGTCCACTGCCGATCCACTTGAGAAGCGTCCTATAAAATGGAGGAGCGCGCCTGTTAGCAGGGTGAATCCAAAGTTTACCCGGGAGGTGTCACACATGAAGCTGGATAACATCTGTACCGTGGAAACTCGCGTTCACGACCCAAAGCTCCGGGCTCTCCAGTGCTGGTATCTTCCGAAACTTAAGAGACAGCCTCGTCCTTCTGGTGCCAAGGCCGAGGATGCGCCGAGGATGTTCCGGGTAAGCTTTTGTTTTCTCTTTTCTTTTTAAGTTTGTTTGTTTACTCGTTTCTTCTTTTCAGATCCAAAGGCCTAGCAGGTTTTTTGCGAGGCCGGAAATGTGGGGCGCCTGGAACATCAGCACCGAAGTTCCATCACCCAGAGAAAGAGAGCGTATGACACGAAGGACGTAAGACTTTTCTCCGAGAGGTTTTCGTGCTCACTAAGTTAAGTTGTGGAAACTTTTCTTGTTGCAGCTTAAGAGATGACAGAAAGAACACCCAGCGTTTCTTTCATAGAAACGAGGATTCTATCTCGGCACTAAGGAATATGTACAAACGAGGTGAGAAGCCTCGGAAGGAGGTTCATGCTGCCAAGGTTTATATAGAGTACGTTGTCCACTGGGATTTTTGTCAGGAATTCATGCGAGCTTGCGTGTTGTTTGCAGTCATTTGAAGAAGAGAAAGCAAGACATCGAAGCTGTGCTGAACCTGGACGCATTGACTCACGCTTTGAAGTTTTTTGATGGATGGGACTCGTCTTCTATGGCACCGAGCAGTGGAGGTGGATGCGAAGACTGAAAGCGGCTCTTCTTTCATCGTCGTCAATTGTCCACTAGATCAAGTCCTACTTCGAAAACAAGAAATGCTCCAAGAGCTTTCTTCTTGTACAGGTTATTAGTGCAAGGTATGAGTTAATTTTTTTTCACAGAGCTTTCTCGTTTTCGCTGATGTATCACGGCTGAATCTGACTAGTTTTTTATTGGAGCAATCTACAGCTTTTAAATCTGGAAGCACTAGAAAATAGCGTTAACAGATGGTCGACTTCTCAGGTGTGTCTACTCCTGTTTCTGTTCCAATGGGATTGTTTGTACTTGCTTTCAGATAGCAAGCATGTCGGTGGCAGTACGTATCTCGCAGATGATCCGTAAGCGTTTTGGCAAAAGCTGCTAGCTTGGCTGTTCTTGTATTGTAAGGCCACGTCGTCGAGAGAAATCTTATGACAAGGATTCGTCGGATTGCAACGAAACATGACTGCAACTTGTGAAGCAGAGGATCCTTTTATGTCTGAATATTTTACGTTGCTTATTAGAAGTTCTCGCTTCGACGCTCCTGCCATCTGCGGTTCCAAGTAAGTATACACCTCAATAAAAGCCTGCTTACCCGCTTTGGCGTGCAGGTTCCAGAGTGTTCGTGGTCGCAGTAATATTGATCAATAAGGATCGGGTTCTTTACACGCAGCATGGTAATGTGTTCGAAGACGAAGTCGTGTGCCCATCCTCGTCCACCCTGCCACAGAACAAGCAAACCAACGTTTTGAAAGTCGGTAATACTTCGTTTACCTCCCATGTTTTGATCCTCAGGCCATTCTGTGTATCTCTTAGGAAAGCGTTTCGGACTTTTACATGCGAGACACGGTCGAAACTTTGCCTTTTCTTCCCTAAGCTTCCGATGCTACATCATCAAAGAGAAAAGGTGAGGCAGCGAACTCTAGCTCTTGCCTGAGCACCTGATTCCATGGCCAGGGCCGCAGGAGACATCCTCTATTACGACGTGTGATGTGCCGGGGCCAATGGATATGCAGTCGTCACCTATCAGGATAATAAGATAACAAACCTTTCGAACTTTCAACAACAAGTACCTGTGGAAATGGTGGTTTGGACTATTGACACCGATTCCGAACGTTCGAGGTGTATCCCATCCGTGTTGGGACTGTCTTCTGGCGAAGAAACCGTCAAGTGCCTCAAAACTGCATTCGAGCAAGATGAAAGATCAAGATGCATTTGCTGGCTGTTGGTGATTGTCAGCCCGTCCACTTCAACGTGCTGGCAATGTCTGAAAGTAAGTGCCTACAAGAAAAGAGACTTCCAGTTTCTTTATAGAAAAAAAGCAGTGGCGAATACTTACTGTAGGTGCTCGTCGACATGGCTAAGAAAAAAAGAGGTGAGTAGTCTGTCTTTTTAACGTCTCGATGCAAAAGCTTACTTCGTTAACGTTGCGCTTGCAGGACTGCATCCACCAGTTTTGGCCTTTCCCGTCAATTGTACCCGTTCCAACCAGTCTAAAGTTCGTGACTCTTTTTATGAGAATCCATGTCTGGATGTCGAAGCCTTTCCACAGATTCCGGTTATCAGGTGCTATGACGCTCCCATCTATCTGGTATTATTTTGATATAAAGGTGAGAGGCGTCGTCGCAAGCCATACCTGTAAAGTGAAGTTGTTTTGGCATGGACCTTTTAGCGTGACTGGATACACGAGGTAAACTTTCCCACTTGGCACCAGCATCATAGAGCTTTTGTTTTTCCTTTGCCGGCATGCCCGCTGCCAGGTGCTGATAAAGGACTGCACTAACCACGGCCCTGCTTCGTGAATGAAACAGGATGAGCATCGTGTACGTACCTGGGTGTCGTTTGCGATGCCGTTCCCAATGGCTCCAAAGTCATCCACGCTGAAGACCCCTTCGTATTCTCTGCGTCCAGTCGAAGGTGGCGGCGGTCTGAGAGAAGACGTCGGCGGAGCGGGTGCTATAAAATCAAAAGACGACGGCGCAAGCGACGACAGGTCGGACGCCTGTGGAGCTAGAGACGCCAGTCTGTGATCGTTAGCAGCACCAGGTGCAAGAGGTTCTATCACGAATGCTGGGCCGGGAGTCTGCTGTGGACTGGACTGGGGTGGATTCGGGAAAAAGCTGGGATTCGGCTCAAAAGCAAAAGGTGGACGGCTGCTACTTTCCTGCTGCTGTGGTCCATCTGGTGCTGGCGAACTCGACTGAAAAGGTGGCTGCCAAGACAGAGGCCTTTCACCTGGCGGCAGCAAGTCGGGCGGCGGTGCTTTTGTGATCGACGACGCGTCTCTCATCATGCACGCCGTCGTTACAAGTAGCAGCAGGAACAATGAACTCGTCGTCATTGCTGTTCCAGCAGCAGCAGGACGGCAACAGCATGTCCGACGACGGGAGCAAAGGCATATGACGGTGTGTAGGCGTCCAGCGAAACCAGGGGACCGGGAACAGGAAGAAACGCAAAGAATGCCGGGTGTGCTGCTGTACCGTCCGGAGCTGAGACACGATTCTTCGCGGCATCGTATTAAAATGCTCAAAATGCCGAACGCATTGTGCACCGGTTTAGAGTGTTTAAGACAGGGAAACCGGGACAACACCAAGATTGCCGTCAGTCCTATCGTCCACTGACACCAACGTGCCTGGCGTGGCTATCTCGACGTTAGCTCGCTACATGGGAGAAAATCTGCAAAAGTCAGTTACGCAGCAAACCCGAGCTTTTACTACTATAAGTCAGGTACTTCACCAGTTTTCTTATTGCCTTGGCATGACTATCTTTACGAACTCGGGGTAGCTAACTTTGCCATCTTTGTCTGTGTCAGCTTCTCTCACCATGTCTGCGATCTCTTCGTCCGTGAACGACTCGCCGAGCTGGTGCATAACATGCTTTAACTGCGAGGGAATACGTACGTATAAAAAAGAGAAAAAGACAGCTTTTCTTTTTTCTCGTTACCTCAATCTCTGTGATAAAACCATCTCTGTTTCTGTCCAGGACTGTGAAGGCTTCCTTGAGATCTTCTTCGGCATCTGCGTCCTGTGAAGATCATGGAAAGATCTGGGGGAGCATCACTCAGCTTGTCCCAAGAAGCTCTGCGCGACAAGGATACATACCTTCATCTTTCGGGCCATGAGCACCAGAAACTCTGTCCAGTCGATTGTGCCGTTGCCATCGACATCCACCTCGTTGATCATGTCCAGGAGCTCCGTGTCGCTGGGATTTTGTCCCAAGGAACGCATCACAATGCCCAGTTCCTTGGTGGTGATGGATCCTGGCGACGGTGACGAGTGTGTAAGTTTGTGTTTTCTCTTTCGCTTCATTTTCAGTTGCTTTTTTTTTTTTTTTCAGAAAGACAAGAAGAGTACCATCTCCATCCTTGTCGAAGAGGCTGAAGGCATCCCTGAACTCTCGCAGTTGCTCCTCGGTGAGCCCCTCGATGATCTTGTCTTGGCTGGCAGTGCTCGTCTCGGACGCCTCCATGCTGCTGCGCCAATTGTGGCAGTTACAAAGCGAGCATATTCTGGTTCAACTCCAATGTGTAAGTTTCTGAAATGATCCGGTTTGTGTTACAATGACATGTCATGGTAAGCAAACTTCCTTCTTGCCTCTGCCAGAGTTATCACGTAAAACGATCTAACTTATGCTTTGTAGAAGGTGGAACGAACTCTCGATTTTTACGTGGAAAGTCTTTTAAAATTCGAGTCGGAAGAAGCAGCACGCTCTTCGTTCGCACGCTGACCTTGTCCGACCGATTGGAGTGGAACCAGTCGCTGCGATCTATAAAACCGCGAGGTATTCCCATCCATTTGTCATGGCTCGCAAGTTTCACGCATTGCTCTTGGCAGTACTGCTTCTTCTTGCGCTTGGGAGCAATCGCACGGAGGCCAGTCGCTCGAAATTGGTGGGCAGCAGTGGAGAGCAATCACGCGCAAGCTCGCAAAAGTCCACAGATCCTTCGGGATCCTCCTCGCAGGGAATCGATATAGATGGCAATAGATACAATGTCGTCACTGCCGCGAGAGGATGACGCGCGGTATATATCATTCGAATTGTAAATCCACGACGCGCGGTGCGCCGCCGTACAAGCTTTGTTAGTTCCAACCAAGCACAATTATCAAAGTTGTGCTCAGATAAACATCTGTCATGTTGAAAAAAGTTCTCGCCGTTGCCGGGGATCGAACCCGGGTCGTCCGCGTGACAGGCGGAAATACTCACCACTATACTACAACAACATTAGACAGTCAGTAGACCAAAATATTTATTGTTAAATGTCCGGATTGGCAATGGCGATGCTTTACTCTTTGAAGAAGTGTATGAGCAAGGAGTTCACTTCCTCGGGCGAATCTTCCTCCACGAAATGGCCGCCGGGAACAACAGCGACATCGACAAGGTTGGGAACGTCTCGCTTCATTCCACCGCCGGTCACGTACTCGTCCAGGCCCGGGACCTTGCGCACGTAGTCGTCTTTGCCAGTGATGTAGAGGCAGCGGCTCGTCACTGGCATGTTGATCCAGGGAGCCAAGAGCTCAAACGTCCTGCGCCCAAAATGGATCAAACTCGATCCAGGAAACGCGCGTACAAACCTCATGAGATTGCGATACGTGAAGCACAACGGGCCTTCGAAACCGGACTTCTCGTAGAGCTCCGACTGGACTTTGATAAACTCCTCGGTGAGCCAACTCGGGGTGGTGTCCGAGGTGGTGACCAAATCCATGATCTCCTCGTCAGGCCCGGCGATCTGGAGCTCGGACCGGCAAAAAAGCGTGTAAATGTTCTTGAGCACGGTGGCCGTGTCGAATCGACCAAAGTCTTTCTCGGCTCGCCCAGGCACCTGGAACGAATTATAGATCAGCCGTGAGCAGCAGCATTCACGGACTTACAGCAAAGCGATTCACGTAGAATCCTTCTTCCGTGGGAAATCCAAAAGGTGGAGCTCCTCCGGCTCCCGTGAAGGGAACTCCAAGAGAGGCATAGGCTCTCACTAGATCCGGCCTCATGCGACACATGTTCCAGCCGATGAATGCTCCAATGTCATGACCAACAACGAACACCTACGATCGAGAGGATTACAAACAGTAGGAAGGAAGAGCTCATCAAGGATCACGTACTGGGTCTTCTCCAAGGGCATAGACGAGACCCACAATGTCTCCCAGGAGATCCAGGGGCGAGAGCTTCAAGTTGCCGGATGAATCCTTGGGACACTCGGTGAGCCCAAAGCCTCGCAAGTCTGGAGCAACGGCGTGGAATCCAGCGTCCGCCAGCGCCTTGAGTTGGAACCTCCATGTATACCACGTCTCAGGGAAGCCATGGAGCAGCAGCACAGTCGGCCCTCCTGATCAAACCATTGTCGCAAAATTCATCTTTCTCTCCTTTCTGTTTTACCTGACCCCATCTCCGCGATATGCATCTTAATCCCATTTGTGTCGATAATGCGGTGCGTGGCTCCTTCCGCCATGGCCAGTGAAGAATGCAAGAACTCTTTGCGCTAAGATTCCACAGTGAAACAAGCATAAAAAAACGCCGTCAATGCCAACCTGACGTATGATGATCGACTCCACGAGTCCATGACCTCGAGCGCAAACTCTCATGATCATGAAATGAATCGAATTTATTGGTTTGTTGTTGCCAATGATACACCAGTATCTTAAACCTCTTGAAAAAATTCTTCTTCTCTACGTAGCGGGAAAATCTTTGCTTTCTATATGGCATGATAAGGATTAAACACCAATCCTACTCTCGCCGTTGCCGGGGATCGAACCCGGGTCGTCCGCGTGACAGGCGGAAATACTCACCACTATACTACAACGACACTAGACAGGAGACAACCGGGACGTTTTAGAAATGCTATAAAATCGTCGCGAGTTCCACACTTTGTTCTTGGCAGCGAGTTACCACATCTGATCATGCGTTGCTTCGCAATCACCCAAGGTGTGATTGATGGAAACTCTACTGCAGGAACAAAAAAGAATACGACCGTATAGAATATAAAAGCCAGCCAAAAACAAAACACCGCCTCTCTTCACTTGAAGCACTTAGCCTCGAGCAGCTTCTCGCCCTCAATCACGTCCGGCTCTTCGAAGTAAGCGTTGATGCGCTCCTTGTGGACGTGATCCGTGGGGTCGGCCTTGGTCCACTCGTACAGCTCCAGATCGTAGCACTCGTCCCTGACTTGCTGCGGGATCTCCGGCCCCCGGAACAGCCACACCCCCTTGATCTTGAACGGCGGTTGGTCGCCCAGGATGCAAATCTTGGCGAACGCGTACTTCCGGATGAAATCCATGCGCTGCAGGAATCCCGACACCTTGTTCATCGTCACGAAAGGCACCGTGTTCTCATCGTTGTACTTGTAGTCGCAGAACCACAGGGAGTATCCCTCGGGGTCATACATCTCCCAGAATCCTGCAAAGATTTGGGATCAAAATCAGCATTTTCAAGCGATCAATGGAAACACCACTTGTACCTTTGAGAGCAACTTCTGCGAAGTCCTTGGCCTTGGTGTTGGAGTAGAGCCTCTTCCAGTCGTCCAAAACCATGGGACTCGGTGGCAGCAAGTCGAGAGGATTCTTGGCTTTCGGCTTGGGAGCCTCCTCCTCATCAGCGGCCGGGGCCTCCTCTTTCGGCTTGGGTGGCGCCTCTTCCTTGGGCTTGGGCTTGGGAGCCTCCGCTTTCGCCTTTGATGGCCTTGGAGTCTGCGAGCCTCGCGGTGCCTGTCCCTTGGCAGGGGGAGGGGGGACCTCCACTGAACCACGGACAATCTCTCCGAGGATTTTCTTGAACGCCGGCTGAGCGGAAACGGTCCAGAAATATCTCTCGACGTGAGGGAAAGGGGCCATGAACTCCTCCGAAAAAACTCCCGACCGGAATCCCCAGGTCAAGTTGCAGATCGTGATTACGTCCGCCAGGGTAACGAAGTGACCCACGAGATATGTCCGAGATGCGAGGTAACTGTTGAGGGCACCGAAAGCCCGCTTGATCGCCTCAATGGCATGCTCTTCCACCTTCACAAGAATTACACAAGTCACAAACGCCTGGAGAACAGCTAGAAGGAGCAAAGTACGAACCTCTGGCGCGTAAGGGAGGTATCCAAAGCGTGGATACAACCACCTCCCCAAGCTGGTATCGACTTCGGTAGTCGCGAAGTCAATCCACTGATCAACGAGGGCCTAGAGAGAAAAAAGCAAAAACGTAAACATAGAACCTAGACATGGAAGATAGAAGCACAACAATGCTACTTACAGTCTGATACAGTGTCGACCCGGTCAGTTTTCCCTTGAGATTGGCCACTGAAAATCCAGCAAACAATGTTAGTACCTCTCTTGCCAAAACCAGGATCTTCTCACCGTATCTAGCAATCGCATTGCTCTCACTGATCGGACCATCCGGTGTCTCTAGCACGGGCACCTAAAAGAAAATTCATCACAAATCGCCCAGCGCTCATCCAAAATTCTCACCTTTCCCAACGGATTCAGCTTCAAGAACTCGGGCGTCTTGTTGCTCACTCCCATCTCGAAATCAGGAACCAGATCGACCTTGACTCCCACAATCTCGGCCACGATGAGAACTTTGTGCGCATTTTTGTTGATCCCGGCATTCACATGGAGCACCTGCGCGAGAATTCAGCTGAGCGCCTGCAAATCGACGAGGAAAGAGAAGCAATCACGCACCAGTCCCGCCATCGCGCTCGCGCTCGGCCCTCCTCGTTGTTAACCCTAGCCGCCAATAAATCTTCATCTAGGGCTCGTTTGGACGCATCCCCGCCGTCTGTTCAGATCCGGCGAATATCCGAGAGCATCTATTTGCCGAACTCCCAGATTTTCCATTCAAGAACACTGGCTCGGCCAGATTTGTGGCAGTCTTAGGTAGGGAATCCAGGCGTTAGGTTCTCTTCTTTGAGCATGGCTGCGATCCTAGGGTCTCTTGCTCGATCGATTCTTTCTTCTAGAGCATGAGGAAGGTTTTTCGATCCAACGATGGCGCTGGTGATCGGCGCGGCTGCATGGTGTGCTAAGACGCTGCTCGTCCTCTTCCCGCTCGAAATCCCCATTCTTGGCGGCAACGCGGACGTGAGCGGCGGCAATATGAGCATCTGTGTCCCGGAGAATAGGCGCGAATGGATCCGCCAAGGAGAATCGCTCGTCAGATCCTCGATCGGGCGGGCGCTCTGCCAGGTACAATCCATATTTCGAATCACTGGATGGATATTTCGTGATCGCTGATCGATTTCCATCTCTCCAGGTCTTGGATCTCGTGATCGACATCCCCGTGACCTCGCGCAAGTATGAATTCGCTCGCTCCCTGGCGGACAGGATCCTCGCGGACAACTCCCGCTATGGCGGCCCGGCGCTCAAGGAGATCAACATCCGTGCGCTGGAAGGGGGATTCTCCCGGACTGTCTTCCTGCTCACCAAGTGCCTGGCACGCTTGCATCGCCAACAGCAGGTCGAGGCGTGGGCGTGGCCGTGGAGAATGCTCAAAGATCTCCCATTCTCGCTCATCTTCCACTGCCTTCCACCGCTGCTCACGTCCCTCAAGGACGGATTTGGCACCGCGCTACACAACCCACTCATGCAGATGATCGTTCCCGCGGGACTGTCGAGCGCCTGCGATGGCGGCAGCAGCAGCAGCAGCAGCGAGATCGTGGCGGAGAAGCTGGCCAACGAGCTGCTGTGGATGGCGCAGCGCCTCAAGCAAAACTCGGCGCTGGAGGTTGCCATACTCCACTGGAGCTCCGCCACCCAACTAGCCCAGTGGTCTCTCACTTCCAGCTCTAGAGTCCAAAAGCTCCTCGTCAAGCTCTCAGGTAGCAACCATGATTTCTTTCTTTCTTCCTCCGGCCAACTCTGTTCTTTGTTTCTCTCTTAAAGCGTTTCTTTGCGCTGGGCTCGTTTCACTGGATGTGGAGCTCCAGCCCGAGGTAACTTTGCGATTGTTGCTTCTCTGGCTGCCGCTGCTGTGTAGAACGAGCCATGCAATCGACGAGACGACGCTGAGCTCCTCGGACAAGATCGACACGGAGCAAATCCTGTCCAAAGTCATCCAGCGCCTGCCCGATTCTTACCAGGAGCTTGTTCTCGCGATGTGGCTCACCGAGTACGTTGGTTCCTCGTCCGACTGGCCAAACATCCAAGGCTGCTACCACGGCTGGTGCCAGTCGACCCGCAAGCTCTACTATTGATGGGAATAAGTATTCTTTGATATTGTTCGCGAGAAGAGGTACGTAGGACTTCCTGTAAGTATTTGAAGCGGTTTAATGTCCATTGGTGTGTTTTTGCGTTCTTATAACTCGGTGACGGTCTTGCCATGGACGAATTTCAGTGCCATGACGACGGTTTTGAGCAGTGCCACTGCCGCAGTGGAGAGATTTTCTAAGAATTCTTCAGTTGTGGGCCGCACGCCGTCGACGATGTCAGTGACTGACTTGAGAAGAATCGCTGGAACTGACAGGAGATTTGTCACGTACACGACTGCTGCTCCCTGCGAAGAACGAAACGAGTTAAAAACAAAGGCAAGCTTTTGATTTTGCGTTTTGCCTCCATGTCTTTGATGGAGGCGTCGTTCGATTTGATTAGCTGCTCGTCTTGCTGGGTCATGTCTAAAGAGTTTCCAGTCGAGAGGTTGCCTTCCTGATAAAAGAGAGAGAGCTTATAAGAAACTAAAGCATGCTTGTAGAGACAACCTTGAAACCAAGAGCAGCGATCATGTTTGGGACTGGGGTACACTTTGTGGTGGCAATGCCATACGTATCGAAGATCTGGAAGAACAAGGAAGAAAAGAACAGAGGATCAAATCAAAAGTTATAGGAGGGACGCACCGGGATGGGGATTCTTCGATCGTGATAGGCTACTTGAGTCGCGAGAAAAACGTCTCCAACGCAAGCTCCTTTTGCCTGGAGATTTGTAAAAGGAATTCGATCGATCCACCACCGATGCAAGCTTATCATTCGTCACCTTGAATCCTCCGGCAGTCCCAGCATTGATCACCAGGTCGGGTTGTAGAGCCTGGATCGCCGCGAATGTCGCAAGAGCTAATGGTACAGTTCCTACGTTGTCTACTCCTGCCAAGAACAAAAAATTTGTTTTAAGAAAATCACGAAGCATGGAAACTAGACAACAATTTCTTCAAGCATGAGAAGAACCAAACTATCAAGTTACCAAAGAAAATCACGATGAAAATTTCTTCAAGCATGAGAAGAACCAAACTACAAAGAAAATCACGATGAAAATTTCTTCAAGTATGAGAAGAACCAAAACTATCAAGTTATCAAAAAAATCACGATGGAAACTAAACAAAAATTTCTTCAAGCATGAGAACCAAACTATCAAATACAACCACGAGAAATAAATCTAAACAATCATAGATAGACTTGCTAAGAACACAAAGACAATTTGTCACAAAATGTCTTCCAAGAGAAAGAACCAAACTGTCATAGATTTGCTAACACGAAGAATCTATTGCTAAAACACAAAGAGCAACAAGAACACCAAGCAAGAGAAACAAAGAAAGACTCGCGTACCAAAAATGGGGCATTTCCCAGGCACTACCACATCAATGTCGAATAGTCCCTCCAGGCTCCCAGTGTATCGGATCCACGGCACGCCCTTTGGAAAACTGATCCAAGCAAGAGCACAGAAGTGATCCAAATCCGAGCTAAGGCGAGCAGTGCGAGGGATTTTGGGGGCTTACATTGCCGAATCGGCCTGCGTGAGCTTGAGCACATCCACGATCGGCATCGCCTCGGCGTGCATTGCTTAAGGGAATCGCTGTGATCAGGATGATCCATCGACATAGCAAGGACTTACCGATCACAAGGAGGACTCTCTGGATTGGCTTCGCCGGATTGATCGAGTTCTCCATTTAAAAAAACCCTAAGTGATATTTTGGGGTTTTACACGAAATGGAGGATGGCGATGGCGATGGCGCCAAGTCTCTCGGCGCTCTCGTCGTGGCGCCGGACGCGCCATCGCCAGATTTTCTCCTCTTCGACAGCAGTGGAGAAATCCGGCTCCAGGGCGAGCGCAAGCGGCGTAGGAGGCGGCTAGGTTTCGTGAAATCCATCGCCAGGTTCGTGTCCAGGCAGCTCAGCAACGCGAATCGCTATGTCGATCCGGTCTTGCTTGTTCCGAGCGATCGAGGAGGCTGCCGGCTCCATTACAGCGAGATTTTCCACCGGAAATGCCTCTCTTGCAATGCTGGCCCAGGTTTGGAGTTTAATGGAGCGGCGATCTCAGTTCTTAGCCGGTGTAGCGCGGCTACGTCTTGGAATTCCGGGAATGTGAGACTTAAAAGCCAGGAGCTGGAAAAAGTGAGCAAGCTTGGAGATATTGATCGCAGCAGCAGTGATGGTGTCAGTGTTTCTACGACGATGGTTAATTCTAGCTTGCTGGACGAACTGGTCGACGACGATCAAAGTAGATTTTCCCAGCTTCAAGAGATGTCAGTTTCTTCTTCCCAGGTCCAAAGCATGCCATCTTCGACGCAAGATTTGGGCGTCAAGCTCGCCGAGAACTTAAGCTTGAAGGCTGTGCCGAACGAACCAAAGTCTACAAACTTGAAGCTTGGTGAAGAGCTGGTGGCAGAAGAGAAGCGGAAGAGTGCAAGTTGCGGCAAAAATCACGCGGTTGCTGGTGCTCTTGCTGGAGTTTTTGTGAGCTTGTGCTTGCATCCTCTCGACACCGTCAAGACCGTGATCCAGTCCAAGAACACCGGGAAGCAAGCGATCTTGCCGATTGTTGCGTCCATTGTATCTACGAGGGGTACGTACTTTTGCAATGCTCTTGTTTTTCTTGGAGGTTAGTGATAATTCTGTTGTTTAGTTTTGCAGGTGTCTCTGGTTTGTACAGAGGTTTAGGAAGCAATCTCGCGTCGTCGGCCCCTATATCGGCAATCTACACGTTTACGTATGAAACCATGAAAGCGGCGTTGCTACCACGCCTTCCAGAGGTAACGCACACAATCACTGGAAACCGTAACCATTTATAACTTCGATTGTTTTTCCTATGTAGGAATACCACTCGCTCGCTCATTGCGCTGCCGGGGGCTGTGCCAGCATCGCTACGTCTCTTGTTTACACACCAAGTGAGCGTGTGAAGCAGCAAATGCAAATTGGAGCAGTGTATCGAAATAGCTGGTGGGCTTTCAGTATTCTCTGCTGCTCACGTATTAGAAACCATGGATGGCAGGCTGGCTTTTGTTGGCATTCTACAAAGAGGAGGCCTTCCGGCGCTGTATGCAGGATGGGAAGCCGTCCTCTGCCGCAATGTTCCACAATCGGTTATCAAAGTGAGCTGCATTGCCTTGGGCTTTTGAGTTTTCCTCAACGCTTTGAAACAGTTCTTCACGTACGAAGCTTTGAAGCACCGTGTTCTTCGTGATTCTCCTCCGGACACGCATCTCACCAATTTGCAGACGGTAAGGACAAGATGTTCACATCACTTCGAGCGTGATAACAGATTGTCTGGGTATGGAAAAATCTGTAGCTCGCGTGTGGAGGACTTGCAGGATCGACGGCAGCCTTATTTACCACACCTTTTGACGTGGTGAAGACAAGATTGCAGACACAGGTATCTTTGACTGCACAGTTTCTTTCCTTCACGTTAACTTGGGCGATTTCTTTCTTCCAGACAATCGGATCGCAACATCAATACAGCAGCGTCTTAAATGCCTTGCAGATGATAACCAGAGACGAAGGCATTCGAAGTTTATACAGGTAAAGAGCTCGATCAAAAACTAGTAGCGACTTTGCGCGATTGATCCTTCTTTGCTTCCAGGGGTCTCATCCCGAGACTGGCGATCTACGTCTCGCAGGGAGCGCTGTTCTTCGCGTCCTACGAGTTTTTCAAGAGGGCTCTGGCAATGGAAGCGCGAAGCTATCAAACTCCAAAAAGCGTTTCTTCCGACGGCTCGGAGGCTAGCCGCCGGAGACGAGCTCTTTTGAGCGCCGCGTGATTAATTAGTTAGTTTAACGCTAACGGAAATGATTTATAGTTAACCAGCCTGCCACGTCGTTCCCGCTGGTCCTGGAAATTTGAATCCTCGTTTTTTGTATACGTTGAGCTCAAAGAAGGGGGAAGAGAAGAGGAAAGAGAAGAGGAAAGAGAAGAGGGAAGATTTTTAGGGCGTGTCGCGGCGGTGAGCTCCAGAGGCCCGATGGCGGAGGAGGGAGGAGCGATCGTGACAAAGGCGGCGGCGGCGGCTCTTGCTCCTCCTCCTCCTCCGTGCGCTGAGGGCAAGGAGAATGTGGCTCCGGACGGCGAGCAAGGGATCATTGGAAGCCCTCTTCCCGATGGATTTCCTCGCAGGCCGCTCCAGGATATCACTCAGGTGCTCGAATCGGACAATGTAAGCGTAAGGCTAGAGTGTAGATCTTTAGGTAGGAAGACACTGTTTCGTCGACTGTTTTTGAGTGGATGTAGAGTATTTTCGATGGAACAGTGTGTTTGCCTGTGTAGATGGTCTCTTTCTTTTTTCTTCTTGGTTTCTTCTTTGTAGGTGGCCTCTTTCGTTTTCTTCTTTCTTTTGGTTTTAAAAGTGGGCTGCCTTGACTCTACAGAGAACCGAGAGCATAACGATCACTTGCACTGGACAGTCCAAAACAACTCGGGCCAAGAAATGCATTGCAACAAAAACTACGACGACATGCAAGGTAGTGTTGGCTTTTGCTGTGCAAATCACTGCTGATCGATGTGCTCTCGTCACAGGGCAAAGAAAACAGACGTGGCAAGTCGCGAACGGGCCTCGAGCAAGGTATGATCACGATAGACAGACATGTCTCATTCCACAGCACAGTGCTAAATCGATTTCCCTCTTGCTTTTTTAATCCTTCCAGTGGTACTTGTCACGAGCTCCAAGATGCAGCAGGCCCAAGGCGATTCTCTAACAGTGGTGAGATCTCCACAATGCCTTTGAAGCTTAGCGCTTGGCAATATCTAACTAGTGTTGGATTTCGAAACAGGAAACCTTGGACGACATAAAACAAGCTTACACGCCGTCGCAATCCACAGTTCACTCAGCGCAAACTACAAGTCGCTCCAGACACAGCGATGGCGAAAAACAAGAGGATGCCGCAGCAGAGGGTACGCTCCAACCTGGTGCCGCGGCTCTAGGCGACGAAGGGGAAGATTCCGGTGTGGTTTTGCGGAAAAAGAAGAGGAAATCTCAGGCACAAGCACAGGCAACGGCAGCCGCGAAGCCAAAACACAACAAGAGCAGCATTCTCAAGTTCAGGTGACCAACTTGGTCCCCTTGTCTCAACTTCATCTGATAAAAAAAAAGTGGCTAAAGTGCTTAGGACTAAATCTTAGTTGAGCTTGAAACTATTAATTGTACATCTCTTGAATTAGCATATTTGATTTAGATTTCTAGAGGTCTTGCATACAATATCCACCAACGCTATGGAACATTAGTAGAAAAAATAACTCTTATAGAAATGCGATTGTAATGCCCACTAACAGAAAAACTATTATGCTAATAAGATGAGTATGTAATCCACTATATTAATATTGTGCAGAAGAACACTCTCATGGCTCTAGGATTCCCAAGGAGACACCTTCCGGCTTCTATGATTGTGGGTGGGGCTCTCTCTCTCTCTTCGTCACCTTTTGGAATGGGTGGGGTCCTGGCCAAACATTCCATCTACAAAAGAAAAAGTAGCATATATTGTTAAATTAAAAGAGAAAATGTTCTTTGTCAAGCACAATACTGATGGAATGAATCAAATAATATTTCTGTGCTCATGCTTTGCATTTGTGTTATCTAATGAAGTGAAATATGTTTTTTTGACAATTTATTTTATATTTTTACAGGGCTGCATGTACCGCAAGCACAATAGAAGTGTTGCTAAATTGTCAAAACAATTTTTAAACTCACGATCTATATTAGAAATATACACAACAATCTTTTTCTAATGTAAAAAACAATTAAAAGGATGCCGTGTCTCTTTTGCAGCTTTTTCTTCCTCTCCTTATCTATGTGATCTTTTAAGCCACTAGCCAACAATTGATAGATCTACTGGTGCGTCGCATTTTTCCACCACTTTTTCTTTGTTACAGATCATAAGAGCCTTGATCTTCTTGATAGCAATTGAAGGCATCCACAAACTGATCTCTTCAGGATTATACATCGATACAAGTGATATGGACTTGTTCCAGTAGAAATCTACGTAGCCAGATCAAAAAAGAGAGAAACAAACAAGTAGAAATTGACAAGAAAAGGCGATAAAAAGGTAAAAAAGGCAAACAACTCTTTCTACCTTGTGTGACCAGTCCACAGGTACCTTCCCTTCTTCCAGCACACGACGATCCTCTTGTGGCACAGAAGCTGATCGATGGGAACGTAAACCGGGGAAGTTTCCAAGTTGATCATGTTCAAGTAGTGGTGATACCGGTGGTGGTCGTGGTGGCGATCGGGGATCTCCTCCTCCTCCTCCTCGCCATAGACCATGACGAGCGCGGCGTTGTGGCGGCTCGCATCGTCCAGCTCCAGCCGGATCACTGCCGTCGACCACGGCTCGATTTGGTACCGCATCTCTTGCCTCCAAATGCCCCTTCCTTCCTTGAGCAGCAGCGTTCGATCGGTTTGATTCTCGATCATGGTTAGAACGTAGCCGGAATTGGGACTGGAGGAGCTCCCGCTGCCACTGTTGCTACTGCTGCTTGCCATTTCTCTATGCTCTCCGTGAATTGATATCTATGTATCGCGAGCACGCTAGGTACTATAAGGTAGAGTGTAGTATCTTAAGAACTTATCTACAACTCATGGAAATTCACACACATACACTGAGGAGATTCCTGAATTCTTGGATCATCAAGCTCAAGCTGTGAGTTGCTAGTGAGAAATGTGTGCGTTTTCCAGAATAACTCTGGATCTTCAATGTATGTTCCTCTTTAAATTGTTTCAAGCAAAGCAGAGAGGAAGAGAACCAACAAAAGGGACAAAAATAAGAGGAAAATGGAGAAGCAAGGGAATGTTGTCACAATGAGGTAATGCCCTTGTGTACATATTGTGTGTATTTATATGTGATAATAGTTACCACCACGTAAATCGCTTTTTTACCATGCAGGCGGCAGCCGCATGGTAGAAACAAAAAATAAAACCAGACCTTGTATTTCTAGTGGACAGAGTGAAAACACATCCCCCGGGGTAAAAAATCTCTCTCAATTCCAACAGTTTATATTATTCAAGCCAAGCTATTAATTATTATTAATTATTTTAGATTAGTTTTGATCTGTTGTGCTCTTTCTCTCCACATATGATGGAAGGGAGAGTCTTTATCTTGGCCAGCATGGCATCTAGCTGTTTGTCCCAACCAGTGCCAATTTATGCCAGGCTTGTGGGGAGAAAAATGGGAGAACCAAGTTGGTTCTCCCTTGATGCAGGGAGTCCTTGTAAGCTCAAACCAAATATCTTGACATCTTCTCACAAACAAAGGACACACCATCACAGAAAAGCTAAAGGACCAAATGCATGAATTTCTACAAAGTCCAAACTGTGGGTGTTTGGGTGGTACAAGCGAGCGCCCAGCGTGTATATTATTGTTTCTAGCCGGAATGGCGTGCAACATAAGAGACGAAGGCAACCAATTCAAAGAGTTTGGTGGCCAGGACACAAAAGACTCGCCCCCGTACTTTTTTTCGACGTATATAAATACGTGAGGCTCCCAGTTGATGAGATAGACCCCCTGGATGCTGCCAATCATGATGCACGACGTAAGATTCCCCGTAGTTATCAAATATCAATGGGATTAGCGCCAAAGTATATAAACTTTTTTACGAGTAAGCACGGCACACTCTAATCTCTCATAAATCTCTTTGGAGTTGTTATTCTATTTTATCTGATTAGTTCTGCTATTTTTCTTCCCAGCATTCATTGACTTGTTGCTCCCGGAAGCCAGTGGAGTGAATGAAAACAGTGTGATTCATCGAGCAAAGTTTACACGCAAACAGGACAGTTTGTTGACCTTGAAATTTCAAGGAGGGAAGGGACAAGTTGAATTCATAAATAGATAAGTGATTTTGGATAAACAGAGAAAAAAGGAGGAGAGAAAAGAAAGCACCACTACAAAAAATAATGGGTCCACAGCGGCATATGTTCTGGGTTTTAAAGTTTTACCTTTGAATTTTCAAGTCAAGAGATGGCAGAGCTCAGAGGTTCTTTTTGTTTTGCTTTCGTTGAGCTAAAAAGAATCGTTTGCTGCTGCTGCTGCTGGCGCTTCTCATTCACTCGTTTGGCATTATTAAACTGAATACGAATCTAAGCCCAGCCAGCAGAGAGTTTATAATTCATCTTCATCACAGGGTGTTAGATCCAATTTCAAGGAGATTTTACCATTGTAATCTTGTGGAAATATCAAATTCCTTTTCCACTTTCATAGTGAGTCGCTAGAGAGAGGCGATGGTACGAACTCTACATTTGCAGGACGCAGGATTTGAGGTGGTGGAAGCTTACTTGATGGATCGAAGCTGTTGAAGCATTCCTCACGGCACCTGAGAGAAAAAAGAGAGAAACACGTTTAGTTTCATCATGCGCATACATACATACATTCACGTCTTTGTAGCCGCCCCGAGACTAGCGTTACGTCACATGGAGGTTGCTTTGTCTGGCTGCGACTGGCAAAGATTCAAGCGTTACCTCCGTATTCGCGATCCCCAAGAAGAACTTGCTCATAGTCTTCCCTCGAGGAACGATCCATCGATCCATCGACTTGCTCGACGGAGAGCGAGAGCGCAGCGCACAGAACAGCAAGAACCTGAGGTGAGGCAACGGTAGTAGTAATTGCTCTCTACGAAAAGGAGCAAAAAGCGTAAAAGAGTCGCGTACCTTCGTACTAGCATGGCGAACAAGCCAGTTCCATTGCTACCAGCAGCTGTGATGACGACGCTCCTGGCAGTAGTCGGAATAGCTTGGACGCTTCTCAGCAGCCAACGCTTGCCATCCGCTTACAACTATTTCAAGTCCTTGTCTCCAGCTGTGCCTGCTGCTACCTTTGCAACCTTTCCTGCAGGCCTGTGCAATTGCTCCGTAGACTTTGGCGCCATCGGCACGCTTTCGAAGCCTCACGTCGAGTGCCAGTGCTCTGGAGCCAACTCCACCGCCCGGGACCCCATCGAGACAAAGGTTGTCCATGTTGAAGTGGAGAAGCCGTGTCCAAAACCACCCACCGTTGTCAAGTACGAGCCGTGGTGGGCCGAAGGCAAGACTTGGCACTATCCGGCAAAGTTCCCCAGGTGCTCCATGGATGCCTGCTTCAACTTCTCGCGCTGCTCCAACATGGACAACTTGATGGTGTTCACGTACGAGGACCACAACGCCCCTGTCCGCTACTTCACCAAGCTCAACGAGACCAGGTGGCATACCAAGGATCCCGAGAAGGCCTGCATCTTCATGGTCTTTCTGGACACTTCAAGTCCATGGCAGAAGCAGCCCCGGGACCTCCCACACTGGAATAACGGCCTCAACCATGCGCTCGTGACTTTTGCTGACAAGTGGAGCCAGAGGGCGGTTGCCGAGGAGTCCATTGGCCTGGCGTCGTTGATCGTTTCGGAAGCTCACGAGACCATCTTCCGACCTGGCTTTGACATCAGCATCCCGCTTCCGCCTTTCTACCACTTCCATGAGTTCCAGAACCTGAAGCCGTTTGAGAGGAAGTACTTCCTCACCTTCAAAGGACTAAGGTATATCGGCAGAGGAGAGGGCCTCCTTCGCAGCTTTGACAGCTTCCGAAACCTTCACAACGGTGCTGATATCGTCGTTGTAACTTCGTGCAAACACTTTGTCAACGATCTCAAGCGGAAGGAGAACACTTCCCTGGGAGTCCACTGCGACGAGGATGAGGACCTGTACTCTCAGTACTCTTCCTTCTCGGATCTCATGAATACGACCTTTGGCCTCGTTCCTGCTGGTGTCCAACCAAACTCCTACAGATTTGGAGAGGTCCTCAGTGCCGGTGCAATACCAATCTTGATCGTCGACAACTACGTAAAACCGTTCAGTAATCTGGTCACCTGGTATCAGTGCCTGCTGCAATTCCCTTCCACCGAAATCCACCTCATTGTTGCAGCTCTGAGAGCCATGTCCACGGCTCACGTTGAGAAACGACAGCAAGCGTGCTCGAAGATATATAGTAGGCACTTCCAGAGCGACTTGACCCTTCTAGAGAGTACCGTCGCTGCTTTAGAAGAAAGATTTCTGGGTGCATTTCCAGCTTTCTCGTCCCATTTGTCAGACCTGAACCTGTAAGTTCAAAGAAAATTTTGAAGCAAAAGAAAATAATAATCATGCACTGCTTACACATATGAAGACCGGATGCATAGCCTGGAAGAAAATAGCCATAAGTTTCGCAGACAAAAAACTAAAAATTCAAATAAAGAAGAAGAAGAAAATCACTGCTCACCGTTTGTCTTCGATCATCATACATACTATAGCTAGACATGGACGAGAACAGAACAAAAGCAGTATACATATATTTGCATGATACGACAACAACGCGGTTTGCAGCTTCAAAGTCTGTTTCATAGGCTTCAAAGCTGCTCCCTACATTTTGCATGCTGCTCCACCAAAGAATTATGCTACAACAGACCTTGGTGTCGTATTTGCGCACTTACGGTTAACCCCGCTTTGACGAATGAAGTTCCTGCGTCAAAGCTGCAATGAATATAACTGAAACAAGTGTAGCATCTACCTTAATCTCCATCGCCAGGCACCATTCCAAAAGTCAAGGGATCAGATGTTTCCGCCTGTTAAGATAGAGATGATTTGAGTAACATGTAATAAGAGTAAGGCTCACCTCCAGAAGCTGATCCTCCAGCCCATGTTGTCTGGACGAACCAAAAGAATTTGTGATCCAGTCCCTACGGATGATTCGGAGCTTGCCTTCCTGTTATTTGTGCATTAGGCCGAGTCATCCATCTAAAGGAAAGTTGTCAAACCTTTGTGCCGTAAACAAGCCCTCCGCCAACTCGAGGATGAAAGCACGCTACATTAACTTCATCTTCAGCACTTGGGAGAACTCGCACTAGTTTCAAATCTGATATTCTATAAATCTGAGAAACAAAAGGAAAATTTCAATGGAGTCCAAAAAATAGAGAGCGCAAACCTCGAGTATTGTATATACAGGAATCGTAGTTGTTCCATCCAACACGATGCTCCTCAAGAGTGAACCGTGACGTCGACCATAGGCCAAAAGTATATGACCAGATGTGGGAGAGAACTGCAATAAAAATTCATATTATGAAAATAAAAAAGAGAGGAACAAAAAGAAAGAAGAGCGTTTAATGGGGAAGAAAAGAACCTGTATTGACGTTAAGCAGTGCGCTGCACGGACAGCCTTAGAAGCGAGTACTTCTCCAAACCTGTAAAGAGCAATTAGGAAACAAACTCCTTCAAGATTCACTTACGTGGCCTCTTCCAAAGAGTAGATCCGCAGCTCGTATATAACTTGCTGAGTAGAAATTGGATGTTGTGTAGGAGACTGCACTGAAAATCCAGGGCCACCAGGACCATTTGTTCGACCCTGCGCAGGCTCGGCTTCCGGTGGTAACACACAAGCAACACAAGCGGCGAGAAAACGGCCGCATGGTGAGAAATGTGTACCCATCTCACTACGTAGACAATAGAAAGGTTAGTCCACAAAAACAGAACGGGAAAAAAGCGAAAACACAGAAAGTGAAAGAAGAAAAAACAAAAAACGAACCTGCATAATACCGCATGAGGAATGGTCAATTTACACGTCTCCGGATCAAGAAGCGCACTGGGTTGCTTGATGTCGTGCGGCCAAAGCTTCAACTTTACTGTACAAGGAAGCTCTGCTGCTGTTGCTGCGGTGACGGCAGCTTCAGCAACACCGAAACCAGTAAACTGACCTCCCTGAGCACGATGTTGCGTCCGTCCTTCAGCTGCATTCCGGCCACCTCTCCGCGTACCAGATGCTTCGGGCGGTTGAGGTTGATGTTGCGGTCCACCTTCGTTTTCCGGCTGGTCATAACGTACCCAGCCTTGAAGAAACGGGTCCAGCACCACAGGATCGGTCACATGAAGAAAGCGTGGCAAGTGTGTTTGTCCGGTCATTGAATATGCCTGAATGTTTGGGAACAATCCAATCGGCCAGATTCCCGAGCCAGTGCCAACTTCCACCGCTTCTTCCTGTCTTCTAGCTACCGGAACCAATGGCACTCGCAAAGCACTAGCGCCACCAAAAGAAATGTTCTCCACCTGGCCAGTTACTGCTTCAGGAAGTACGAGAGGATCCCAGGGGCCGCCAACAACCGTAGGACTCACCCTGCCTGTCTCCGAAACTAAACCTGGAGTTTCCACTGGATCCATGCCATCTGAAGGTGGTGGTGCCGCAGCATTCGATGGTCTGGGAGAAATATCCATTGGAGCAGTCGTGGTTAGAGACTCCCGTTGCACTTGGGCATCGCCAGTCCATATCCAGTTTTGAGGGGCAGCACCACCAGGATGCGAATAGTGTAGTTCCGTATAAGGATACACTTGGTACTCCCTCGATGTGGCTACGGACATAGGACAGTCTGGTGAATCCAGATCATTCACCTAGAAAGAAAAACCGTAAGACGCGTTTTAAAGAGGAGAAAGAAAGTATCACCTCCGCAGTTAGTACAAGGGGCGCTGCTAGCGGGTGAAAATGTACTGCACGAAGCGATCGCCGTGTGCGAAGAACGATATTTGGACATGCTGCATCACCTTCTTTCGTATATTGCCAAATGTAAAGCTAAATATCGAAACATTAGAATGGTATGCTAAAGAAATTAGAAGGTAGAACCTTATGTCCGGAAGCAACTGCGAGTAAATCCCCTCGTGCGTGAAATGCTAGAGACGCAATAGGCCGGTCTGAAAGGAAAAAACCAGCTATTAGAAACAAAACTTCCATGCGAATGCTTACAAAAATCCCGAGATGCAACACATTCTGCAGTGTTAGCGTTCCAAAGACGAACTTCATAGTCCAAACTACCGCTTGCTAGCACTTCAGGGCTGCTAGGATGAAAACGGACCTGCATGTAAGTAGGTAGAAAAGATCCATGCTATGGAAAAGAATGTCCATAACATACCACCCACGGCGTTCTTCGGTGTCCGCTCAACACTTTAAGGCATTGGCCGCTTTGACAGCATATAATTTTCACGGTATGATCGCCACTGCAAGAGTGCTGTCAAGACAAAGAAGTCGACAAAGAGATTTACTCACTGTGTTGATGCTAAAGTCAATCCATCCGGACTGAAGGCTGCAGCAATAGTTGACCTTGGTGCCGGTACCAAAGAACAATACTTCGCAATGGAGTGCTTGAACGACTCAGCTTCCAGCCTAAGAGCAAATCTCAGGAATTCAGTAAGTTGTTTGTAGCAAAGTCATCAACTCACCAGTTAACTAGAGCATGTTTGGCGTTTGTAGTTTCGCGAGAATGCCCATGGCATTTACTGGAAGATGCAGCTGTATCCCTCCACAACCTTTTCGAAGGTCTTCTTACGCTTGGCGAAATCTGTCTCCAATCAAGCATACGCAAAACATTGTCCGCTCTAAGTAGAGAGAAAGAACACTGTTAGAAACAAATAAACATAAGAAATTCTTACAAGTTCTTTGACTGGCACTGTGAGCACGACGATGCCTGCGATCCAGACACTCCTGCCGCATTATTTTCAAAGCAGGAGGACACCATCCCCGCCCCGTCCAAGCTACATACGTAACACTAGAGTTGCTACACTATCACAGCGCGCGCAGAATTCCCTTGCATTCTCCGGAAATCCCCGATCACAGACCTGGAATCCATGCCTCGGAGCTCTCAAATCCGATGCCCGGTAAAATCTAAGGTTCCAGAGCCCCGGAATCTGGAAATCCATCGCAAAATCTGTGCCGGCGCCCCGGCGCGCCGCCCATACCGCGCCATACACTGATCCCTAAGCGTCACGATCTTACGCTACCACTCCCGTGCCCTAAAATCGTACTTCTGGCTATGGCGAAAATGCATAATGCCGATCTAAGCCGCCGATTTGAATTAAATCGAACGGCCATGATTCGGTTTTGCGCCAACGGCCCCGATACCCGCGTAATTTCTTTTGTAGCTAACGCGGTTTAGGGTTTCATCGGATCTCTCTCAGGAAGATCTTGGAGAGCTTGAGCGCTAGGAAGATTTGGAGAGTTTGAGCGCTAGGAAGGAAGATCTTGAAATCTCTCCAGATGAAACGAAGAGGATATTTAGAAAAGAGGGCAAATGGAAAGACGAGCGAGCTTGTGCTCACAGATTCGGTCATGCGGCACCGCAGCCGCGGTGGAGAAGATTCACCGTGACATTGGCGAATCGGTCCTCTCCGACGTCTTTGTCGCAAATCTCCTCATCAAGAAGTATGGAGAGTGCGGCAGCCTCGAGAAATCGAGGGAGATTTTTGACCAGATCCCGAGCTCCTCCAGGAGTCGAAACATACACACCTGGATCGCGCTGCTATCCGCGTACGTGCACCGCCAGGATCTGCGAGAAACCAAACGGATCTTCGATAGAATGCCCGAGTGGAACCTGGTCGCCTGGACGATTCTACTCGTTGCCTACGCTGGCAGCGGCGATCTCCAGGAGGCCGATCGAGTGTTTAGATCGATGCAAGAGAGGGATCTCGTTGCCTGGAACGGGATCCTATCAGCATCTGCCACTGCTGGGCACTTTGCTCGTGTCCAAAACATCTTCCAAAGCATGCCAGAGAGGGATCTAGTTTCCTGGAATTGCATGCTAGCGGCATATTCCCGTGACACGAATATGCAAGATTTGGAGCGAATCTTCCGGACAATGCCTGCTTGGAACATGGTATCCTGGGCGACAATGCTGGCAGCATATTCCCAGACAGGGGACTTATTATCATGTAAATGTTTGTACGAGGCTATGCCTGAGAGAGATTCCTTTTCTTCCACAGCGATGCTAGCGCTTTTAGAGGAAAAAGGCTACCTAGATCTAGCTCAACGACTATTTGATTCCATGAAAGAGCGGAGTCTAGTAACTTGGACAGTCATGGTTGCAGCATATGCCCGGAGAGGGCATATTGATCTTACTGTAGAATTCTTCAACAAAGCCCCGGAGCTGGATCGAGTCCTGTGCACTACAATGATCGCCGCTTTTTCAGAGGCTGGATTTATCGATAGAGCAAGTGAAATCTTCCACAAGATGCTCGAGAGAGATCTATGCGCGTGGACTACCATGCTCGAAGGATTTGCCCTAAATGGGGATCTTGGAATGGCAAACTTATGCTTCCAATCCCTCCCCGCTCTAGACGTGGTGTCGTGCAATGCCATGATCGCCGCCTACGGCACCCACGGGCTCACAGGCAAAGCCAAACATTTGTACGACTCCATGCCCGTACAGAGCGTGGCATCCGCGACGCTCATGGTAGCGGCATATTCCCATTGCGGGAATGTGGAGGCGGCAAGATGGGTGTTTGAAGAGTGGTCAGGCGTTCGAGACCCAGGGCTCTCTAACGCGATGCTGTATGGTTACTTGAATTGCGGGTATGTGGAAGAGGGCGAGCTCCTCTTCGCTGCGATGGAGGAGGGCCATCGCGATTCGTTCTCATGGAGCACGATGATCACCGGGCTGGCCCGGAATGGGGATTTCAAGCGCGCGGCAGCGATCTTTGCTAGGGTTAGCGAGCGGGGATTGGTGCTGTCGACGGCGATGCTGCGCGCCTATTCGGGGTATGGATCCGTGGAGGCTGCCAGGAAGATCTTTGAGGCAATGCAGGATTGCGACGTCATTCTCTGGAACTCGATGATTCTCGCCTACGCGCAGAACGGCCGATTGCCCGAGGCGATGGGGCTTTTCAGGCTCATGAATCTTGGCGGCCGGGCGCCCGACGAGAGCTCCTTTGTCACGATCATCGCCGGATGCAGCCATTTCGGTGTGATCGACGACGGCAAGAGGTTCTTTCTCTCGCTCCAGCAAGATTTCCATCTCCAGGCATCCAAGATTCTCTACAGCGCCATGGTCGATCTCCTCCAGCGCGGAGGGTATCTAGCAGATGCCCAGGAGCTCCTTGCGAAATTGCCGCTTCTTCCGGCGCCAACGCGGCAGTGGCGTGTCGCAGGCCGCTTGTGCCACGTCTGCACTCCACGTCGGTAAAGCTGGCCACGTCTGCGCGAATATCTCGGAGAGAATATTCGGCCGCGTGTCCTTTGGAGCGCCAAAGGTTGCTACACAGGAAGGCCACGCGGATTTTTTTTTCGTTGGGCAGATTGATTGATGCGCTCACTTCCAAAATGATGATGGTCATTGGGCGCGGCCTCCTCCGGTGATTTCCATTTCCTCCACTCAACGCATTCCACCAGTCCAGAAGAGTTCTGGGAGGAAAAAAGGGAGCGTGTTTATAGCGGTGCATTAGGGGAAAGGTTTAGGTCAACCAGGGGTTTGCTTCTCCGCTTGAGCAGGGAGGCGTCTCTAGAAGTCGCCAAGAGAAGGTCTGTGTCTGCCTGGATTGGTTTCTTCGCGGAAAAATCCGATTTTTCTGACCGAAAGCTCTTTCCTTTTGTTTGGCAGGAAGCCCGGAGGAGGGGGAGGAGGAGTAGCATCAAAAGCAGCAGCAGTGGCAGGAGGAGGAAGCTCAATGGGGTCGAATGCGACGAACTGGAAGCTGGAGGCGCATCCAAACATGCCCAAAGGCAAGATTTTGGCCATGATTGTGTTGGACGGATGGGGGGAGCAAATCAAGGACGAGTACAATGCGATCCATGTCGCTCCCACTCCATGCATGGATTCGTTCCGCGAGGTAAAAGCGCTTTTTGGATCTGGATCTGGATCGATTGATCTTGTTGCTTTTTTTCTTTTAGACTGCCCCCGATCGGTGGAGACTTGTCAAGGCGCATGGACCTGCCGTCGGCCTTCCAACCGAGGATGACATGGGAAATAGTGAGGTTGGTCACAATGCTTTGGGAGCGGGACGTATTTTTGCTCAAGGGTATTTTGTAGAGCTTCTCTGTGAGCTTTCTCACAGTGTTTTTGTTCTTCCCATTTCAGTGCGAAGCTCGTCGACTCGGCTATTGCAACCGGGAAGCTGTTTAAGGGAGAGGGGTTCAATTACATCAAGGAGGCTTTTCCTACTGGTACCCTCCATCTCATTGGATTGTTGAGTGATGGTGGTGTCCATTCTAGATACGACCAGCTTCAGGTTTCTTCTTCTTTCTTTCGCTTTTCTGTGCGGGGTATTGACTCTCGATTTGCAGGGTTTGATGAAGGGGGCCGTGGAAAATGGCTGCAAGAGACTTCGTGTGCATGCTCTTACGGATGGACGTGATGTTCTTGACGGGACGAGTTTTAAGTTTTTGGAGATGCTAGAGAACGATTTAAAGGAACTACGTGAGAAGGGGTGCGACGCCCAAGTTGCATCTGTTGGTGGGCGTATGTACGTGACCATGGACAGATACGACGTATGTATTTTCCTCTCTCTTTTTTTTGTTTTTGCTTCTCTTTTTTATCCCTGTTTAACTTGTGTTGCTCTCCAGAATGATTGGAACGTCGTGAAACGAGGCTGGGATGCTCAAGTGTTGGGCGAAGCTCCTCATAAGTTCACGAATGCACTTGAAGGGCTGAAGAAGCTCAAAGAAGCGGACCCCAAGTTCAATGACCAGTACTGTCCCGCGTTCGTCATCGTTGACGAGGCGGGCAAACCCGTTGGACCGATAGTTGATGGTGACGCCGTTGTCACCATCAACTTCCGTGCCGATCGGATGATCATGCTTGCAAAGGCTTTGGAGTGGGAGAAGTTCGATAAGTTTGATCGTGTTCGTGTTCCAAAGATTCGGTACGCGGGCATGCTACAGTATGATGGCGAGTTGAAACTTCCCACGAAGTATTTAGTTGATCCCCCGGAAATTGAGAGAACCTCTGGTGAGTTTTTGGTAAAGAACGGCGTCCGGACTTTCGCTTGCAGGTAAGATTTACTCTTCTTTGCAATGTATCCGCTACTAAACTGTCTCTTTGCAGCGAGACTGTGAAGTTCGGGCATGTTACATTTTTCTGGAACGGAAACAGGTCTGGCTATTTTGATAGCAAGCTGGAAGAGTATGTTGAGATTCCTAGCGATTCTGGCATTACTTTCAACGAGCAGCCAAAGATGAAAGCCTTGGAAATCGGTGAGAAGGCGCGGGACGCCATTCTCAGCAAAAAGTTTGATCAGGTAACTCCAAAGTTTGCATCGTCCCATCTTATTCTTTCGCTTCTTAGATAAGGGTTAATTTACCCAATGGTGACATGGTTGGTCACACTGGAGATCTCAAGGCGACCATTGTGGCTTGTGAAGCGGCCGATAAGGCTGTTAAGGTGAAGTTCCTTGCATTTTTATTTTCTGTGTCAGACGATGTTTTTCTTTTTTGTTCTTGCAGCTCATGGTTGATGCTATTGAACAAGTTGGCGGAATTTTCGTGATAACCGCTGACCATGGAAACGCGGAAGACATGGCAAAGAGGAACCCCAAAACTGGGGAGCCTATCAAGGACAAGGACGGAAACATTCAAATCCTCACATCTCACACCTGTGCTCCGGTAAGCTTTGTAACTTCGTGGTAGTGATCTTTAGGCCTCACTTAAACCATGGTCACCAGGTTCCATTTATTATCGGCGGGCCTGGATTGGCAAAAGAGATAAAATTGAGGAAGGATTTGCCTACGGCAGGACTTGCAAACGTTGCCGCGACGGTGATGAATTTGCATGGTCTTGTAGCGCCATCGGACTATGAGCCTTCTATGGTCGAGTGGGTCAAGTAACCATATTAACCCCCTTGATTGGACAAATGAGATTTTATATAAAACTATCAATAAAAGAAGGCGAACCAATTCATTTGATGGCTCTTTTTGGATATTTGTTTTTTACTACAACTTTCAGCATTTGCTTGCATTAATTGTATTTAGATCGATCAAGAACATGTTGTACCACTCGTGGAATCTCATTCTTACTACTTTGAAGTCTTAAAGAACAAAACTAAGGCACTTTACATTATAGCCTTGTGGGGACTGGTTCTTTTTGGATATTTGTTTTCTACTACAACTTTCACCATTTGCTTGTATTATTGTATTTAGATTGATCAAGAACATGTTGTAAAATTCATGGAATCTCATTGTTACTACTTTGAAATTTCAAAGAACAAAGTTAAAGCACTTCACATTGTATGATCATTAATAGTTAGAAGTTTCAAAGAAGTTCTAAAGAACAAGAATAAGGCACTTTTTTAGAGACGGATTAACCATAATATATATTTAATTTTTCTTACATTTTTTTAGTTCTTATTTTGAGTAAAAAATATATTTTGAGTATATTTAAAATAAAGTAAAACTATAAATAAAACTATTATAAAATGCATACACTCTAGCACTAGGAAGCATTACAACAATTACACCAACAACCAACTATAAGTAGGGAGGAACCCTTGCTTGTAAAAGGTTTGATGGGTATCCTTTTGCAGCCCTAACCTAAATATTATGGATAAATCATATATCTTGATAATAATGAGAACCACACCTCACACCACATTGGAGATTGCATTGGTTTGGAGCATTAATAACAAGTATAGGGATGGGGATTTGATAATGAAAAATTATACCTTTATAAATTATTAAACTTTTCAGTCTATTTTAGTCACTTAGCCATAACTTTTGACAAGTCACATGTCCCAATAACATGAGAACCACACCCCATACCACATTAGACATTGCACTCCAGTTTGGAGCATTAATAATAAGTATAAGGATTGGGATGTGATAATGAAGAATTATATCTTTATAAATGATTAAAGATTTTATTCTATATTATTCATTTAGCCACAACTTTTATTACTTGGAGGTGTGTCACCCATAAGTCCTCATCCTGCTAAAACTTTAAAAGTGGCCTTAAAACCACTTTAACTTTGCACTTCATCCAAGTGCTCTAAATATGTTATATCAATCATCAAAAGGTACCACTAATGTATTAACCTTTTACAATAAATCTATGTTTATTATTACTTATTTCATTGGTAATCCAAGGCCACCTAGACCAAACTATCCAATATATTAATACCCATCCTCAACCACTTCTTAACATCTTTAAAATATGGTGGAACACTATCCTTTAACATCCCTTCTTTAATTTTTATTAAGTCTTTTTCCAATTATGGTAGTGGTTGTTAACATTGCCACTGGGTCAAGATACAAAAACTTGTTTATCAAATTCTATTAACTTCTAGAACTTCCTCACCATGTAATCATATCTTTTATTATTAAGCAAGAGGATCATTCCTCTTTCATTCCATCATCAAAGATGTTAGAATGACATTTTGAAACACCACAACCTAATATAAACTTCATTCCCATCTTTTGCCACCAAAATGCCTCAGCCACTTAGAGCAAAATTTCAATGAGACATGCAAGATATCCAAATAGGTAGTGCTACCTATACTTAGATTGGGAATATAAACCATGTAATCTCTTGAAACAATTAGAGCTAACTTTTGAACATTTTATTAAGTTTTATTTATGTTCATTCAGCCTTGGATTCCATAGTATTTGTATCTATTTATGTTCACTTTAACTTTGGACTCTTTAATATTTATATCATCACCCACTATATAAATATAACCTTTCTTAGTCATATTGATTCTTTTGAAGTTTTCCCCCTTATTATTTTACAAAGACTTATTAAACCCTTTTGAGGGGCTATATTAGAGGCATTTAATTTAGCCACATGCACTTGTACATATATATCCAATCCTTCCATCTGTGCTATCATCCCCCCATCTATTATCTCCTAATGTGGCACACTTGGAGGTTGTATGATAGTGTGTGGAGGCTAGTTATGTGCCTCAATATAATGTTTTGCAATTGAGTGGAGTATATTGTAGTATTATATAAATAATTTTCTTTTTTATTATATATAAAGCTTTTTAACTCTTTCAATATAATTATATTTATGCAGCTTAACTAACCAATATTATTTATATTATGTGACTTGTGCTTGCACTTCAGATTTATAATCTAATGCTATCATAAATTTAACATACCATATCTATAATAATGAGGAGTTGCTAAACTTTTTGGGCCATCTGATCCAGCCAATAACATCTGTATGATGGGGGTAATTGTCAAAGGGTTATTTTTTTAACCACATCTTAGTAAATAATCATATTTGATGCTTGCTCTTAGCTAATGAGAGGTTGTTAATTGCCTGGAGTGAGAAAAAGGTGACATGTCATGTGTTGTTTGGCATTGATGGTCAACCTTTTGTAGTGGAGACTCATTGTGTCATTTGGATCTTATAATTCCCTCTAAGGAATTTAAATAATTTCCTCTATATATTTATAATTATTTTTTGAATTCTTCTTTCAAAGTGGAATACAATATTTTTATTTTGATACTATTCCAATTTAGCTTTTAATATAACAAAATTATGACAATCACAACAATATTTGCTAACTAGATAGCATATCCTGGGCAATAGTTAGTAAAAGAAATAAAACGTAGACATGCTATGAGGTATTTTATTAGATAGAAAACTGAAGGGGTTAACAAATTAACTTTACTTAACAAAAAATAGACTTTGTGTACTAGCTTATAAAATATGAATATAATAAACATACTTTGTAAGGTTTGTAAATCCTGAGCACTCACAACTTAAGCTTATACATATAACTGTAAACAAGACCGCCAAGAGAGTTATATAAACAATGCAAAGGAATTATATTTGTTCCATAGATGGATTAGAAACAATTATAATAATAGCCATTTATTATTTAACAGCCCTCATTGATCAGTTATGTTGTAACACTGTTTATGGAGAATGTCTTATTTTTCTTACATAATCACAGCGCAAAGGTGACGAGAAGCCATGAAGTAACTGCTACAACGCAGAAGCAACCACAGAGAAGCCTTTGTACTCTCTTCCAAAAGCTTTGGCTTTTTCTTCCTTCCTCGCTCTCTTCGTTAAAGAGTGAAGTTTTGAGAGTCGGCAGACAAATGCAAGAACGAACTTTACCAGTCTTTGTGTTGCTCCTGCTCCAGTCACTTGATTGTAAAGAGGTAGTGTGAATTACCTCAGCCAAAATCTTAGCAACCTGTAGGATGACTGATCATAAAAAAATTCTTTGAAAAAATCAAGATGCCAAACCTCTTTTGTGTTCTGGTGAGTTACAAGGTGGCCACCAGAAAGCACCCAAAACCGTGCTGAGCTCCCCAATCGTTGCGCCAAGCGTTTTCCATAGCGAATCTGTGCAATAACGTCATCTCTAGAAAAACAAAAGAGGACTCAATGTATGACGATGCGAGCTTTCTTTTTTCTTTTTGTTCTCGACTTACATGCCATGGATGACTGCCACAGGAAATCCAGCCGCGCGTATTTGCTGTATGTCGGAGTCTTTGGCTTCGTGAGACCAGCAGGCATGAATGTGACCATTTAAGCCAGCCTTCGGTTGCATTCCACCAGTCTCCATGTTTTTCAGGTACTCCTGCGCAAAACCAAAAAGAACCAAAAAAGCAAAAAAGAGAAACGTTTCATCTCCGTGTTAGTGACTACAAAAGTTTCTACCTTGTAAAGGATGTTCTTTCTTTGTACTCCCCCGGTAATTTCATTCAAGTAGTCCTGGAAGTAGCTTGTTACGACAGCACAAAAGAATGAGACTATGACATACGCGCGTGTAATGCGTGTCTAGATCCACAAGAATTCTCTGCTCGAGAGTTTTAGCTGTGAGAAATCTGTACGCAATCGAGAGTGACCGCCATTCCATCTGTAGCAAGTCCAAAGCTGAAGAAAGTTTATGTTTCAACAAAAAAAGACATACCTTTGGAAAGCACTGGAATCCGCCACCGGTGATACTTATAAGCGTCAAAGAGAGAACTCGTTGGGGGGCCATTGCTGCCAGTTTGAATCCGATCATTGCACCTGGAAGAAGAAAAACTCTGAGCTTGTCGAGAGAAAATCTGAAAGTTTTAAGTTCATGAACGGTGTTTGTACCCATGGAGTGACCACAGATGTGAGCCTGTTTCCAGCCGAGGAAATCAAGCAAAGAAAGTGCATCCATAGCCATGATTGTCGTCCTGCAATTCACAAAGAATTTAGTAGAAAATGAATCGAAGAAAAGAAAAACTAGAAGCAGAAGAACACTTACGAATACTCGGACTTTTGTGTGGGAATTGAGCTGTTTCCCACTCCCCTGTTGTCAAAAGTACAGATCTGAACTCCGCCATCGTTTTCAAAGCTACTACAAAACTTATTGCTTTCTTCTTCCACTTCACTCGGCGTACCACTGTTAGAAGCACTACTGGTTAGCTCACGAACATAAGGCCCCCAGAAACCATGGCCACAAGCAAGTCCTGGGAAAAAGAAAATGACCAAAAAATCAACGAACGCCCTCAAAAGAAGAAGAAAAATAAGTCTAGAAGTCGATCGACAAGATCTAGTCCCCGAAAGAAAAACACTCGAATAGAAGAATCTGAGCTTCGAAAGAAGAAAGTACTGAAAAAACTCAGTACAAAACCAATGAACTCAACTACGAAGAAATCGACAGAGAGAACTACAAACCAATGAACTTAAAGTTCTTAGCGCAACCAGCAAAGTAGAAGGAGATAGGAACAAGAAAATGCCAAAAGGAATCTGGAGAGCTCCCGAATTTTGGGAAGCATATCCAGCGAGCTAGCTGTCTCTGTGACCCACAAGCTCATTAAAATGCAGCGTAGCAGCACAAAACTTCTTCTTTTTTTTAAGGAAAAGAAAGAATTTGTTATCTTTTGCGAGTGCCCTAGGGCCTGATCGATCGATCAATGCATCAATCAATCAACAGTTCCAATTTCCGCTCCAATCCAATCCCATCGAAGTGAAAAGAGAGAAAGAAAGAGAGATCCTCTTACCTGGTATGAGCAGTAGCTTTGTGGCGCCAATTCCATATAATTGGTAGCTGATGACGACGCCGTGCGTGGATCCTGGCGCCAGGCACGAGCTCCCCTCGCCATTGCCCAGCGCCCCGGGCGCGGAATATGCCCCTCCAAGATCTTCCTCCATTTTGCGAGGGGCTAAAATGTGCAAAGAATATTCTATGTTCGATGAATATTCTTGTGTGAGGAATATGCTTATAGTTTGAAATGTTGGAGAGAAAAATAATCAATGCTGTATTGTTGTTACACGCGACGAAAAATAACCATAGTGTTACATAGACATACAATGACGAAGTGAAGAACACTTACTCTTTCTTGGACGAATTGTTTTGGTTTGCCGACTGGAAATCGTCTCTGCTGCTGCGAATTCTTGGAAGAATTTGGCTCTCGATCAGGCCTTGAGCTGCTGCTGCTGCTGCTGTGATTCCAAGCGACTGACTTGGTTCTTCCACGCCTGCGCGCACTCGTCGATGGAAGCTCGCCGCGAAGTTCTTCGCGACATGGCCTTGAGATTTGGAACTGGATGATGCTTGACAATGGTGGTGGTGGCGTTGTTCTCCCCCTGGTTCTCCTTGTTGCTGCTGCCATGGCTCCGGTTTACGCTGTTGCTCCGGAAGTTATCGGTCGAGTAGTAGAGCACGGACTTCGCGAGCTTGGGCGGCGGAGGAGAAGGATCCACTGCTATCACGCTGCTCGTCGTGTTCTTGCTCGCCGGGGAGCTCGTCGAGCCGCGGACGCTCGCGCTTCTCAGGTGATGGTTTGCAGCGTCTCTCCTGTCTCTCACTACCGAGTGCCTGTTGTTGCTGCTGCCGCTGTCGATGTTCATGCCCGCCAGCTTGTTGGAGATGCCTTCCCAGTCCTCGAAAGTAACTTGCCTCCTGGGAGGATCCTTTGAGTCGGCTTCGCCCGTTGCCGCTGGCTTTGGAGTAGCGCCGTGCTGCTGCCTCAAGCTCAGCCTACGAAGGAGACCGGAGAATGGGACCTTGAGCTTGTCGGAGCTTGATTTCTTCGCCTGCGCTCGTTCCTCTGGTATCTTCTGGCTGAAGCCTCGAGCCAGTCCGGGGGGAGGGACTGCAATGTCCTCTGGCCATCCTCTTGATTTGCTTTGGCTCGGCTGTAGCTGAATTGCCTCCTCCTGTTCTATCTCTGGCTTTGTTACGATGTCCTGAGTTTCGGGACGGGGTGGATCCTGCTTTTCTGCTCCCGCAACCTGTTCTGTGCTCGTCAATAGTATTTGCAGCCACTTATCGAGAGTGTTCTTCCCTTCCTTGATGCTTTCCTCGTCGCATGACATCTCCCCGCGTTCTGACAGTGCCTTCCTTGCCTCCGGCGAATGCAGCTCCACAAAGTTCCTAGCCGACGGTGTCCTCGAGCACTTGGAACTTCCTGCTGTTACGCGGGAATCTATCGCGGAGACGTCGATCTCAAAGCGCTCGCTGCTATCCCTGCTCTCCTTGCTCTGTGGTGCATGGAGTATGCCTTTGAATCGCTGGCTCCCGCAGCTCGCATAACCACTGTCAGTGTTCTGCTTATCCCTCTTGATAACAGGCATCAGCTTGAATGTTCTCGTCACCTCCGATCCTTCACCATCACTGCCCGCATTCGCAATGTTACTTCCATCGTCAGCTTCCCTTGGCGCAGCACCACCCTCGTAGTAAATTCTGTCCATTGACGGTTTTGCAGACGCGGGTGCCGCTGGTGTTTCCCGACGAGCCACACTGTTTTCTTTGTCAAGTCGTTGCCGTGGAGCGGACTGGGATCTCTTGCTCTTGGCCGGTGTTGTCGACTTCCGGAATCGCTTATGACTACGATGCTGATCTTCGGAGTCACTGAAGCTGTCTTGCTTGTTGGAGACGTTGGCTGGCTGATGGTTTTGGAGATCCCTTGCTTTCAAGACTTCTCTGTCTCTGGTGCTGCTTCTCTGCTTCTTGGGAGGAGCATGACGATCTGCTTTCACCAGCTGCGTTGAAGATTTCTCTGGTACGCATTCCTCGTCTGCAGCAGCCTCCACGCTTCCGGACTCTAAAAGAGGAACTGGCTTGGTCATCTGCAGCAGGTCTTGCCTCTTATGAGCGTTATGCAGAAGCCGAGATTCGGCCGCGTTGCATGTCTCAGCTTGAGACTCCAACTGCGCCATGAGAGAATTGCAGGCGATTTCATTCAGCCTCGACTCTTCCTTATAAACCACGCTCCTGATTAACGGTCGCGCAACCATTAGTCACGTAAAGATTACATACGATAGAATGACTTACTGGTGCATAGTTTCTTGGATCATCCGCTCAAGGCAGATGCGATATGATGCCTGTGTTTCGTTCCACTGTCTCTGCTTTTCCACCTGCTTTCTTTGTTTTCGTAGCTCTGCTTCCAGAGTGTCCAAGGCAGCCTTTTCCTGTTCATTTTGGTCTTTGATACTCTGCAGGGCCTGCTTCAGTTTTGAAGATTCGCCTTCCCTCATATGCTTTTCTTCCTCCCTCAGTAGCTTGATCTTTGACTCTCTCTTTATGGATGATAAAATTCGGCTGTTAGTGTCACCGTCCTGTGAATGAAGAGGTGACAGACAACTCGGAGAATGCAGGTTTTCCTTTTGAAGGCCAGTCAAGGATCGATACTGATTAACAAAATGTGTCAGTTTTAACATAATATTAACCAGACACTGCATACCTTATCTCGAATTTGAACCAGAGAACGATTTGTAAGAAGGGGTTCACTTTCTTTTATAGCCTTCCAATTTCCAAAACCAAACTTCTGATATCCTCGCAAAAGCACATCTTCCTCCGAAACAGTCCAGTCTTTTTGGTGTAATCCTGAAAGTAGCATGCGAAATATAGTGTTTTTCGTACGTTGGAACAAGACAAAGACAAATGCCAACCTGAAGGTGAAGACGACAGCCTGGAGTTTGCAGATTCGTCTCCTTTCTGAAGCCGGACGAGCCCAGCCACTGCAAGCCCCGAGCGTTTCTTCTTCTCTAGAAAATGATGTGACCATTGATGATCGTTTATGCACGTCTTTCCATCTGGAAGCTCGTCTTCACCACCAAGAAAGAAAAAAGAAAAACACCTTTGTCTGAAAAGAACGAAGTATTAGCCAAAGCATAGATTGTACAACGAGTGATTACCGGAATCCAATATTCGGTGAATCAAATGCTGTAAGAAACTGATTAATCGACACCCCAAGCTGGAGATCCCACCAAGGAATGAGAAACTCAAGCTTCTCCTTTTTCTTCAGACTCACTTGCCATTGCGCGAGCCTTAGATTGTTAAGAACCGTCTTGCCGCCTCCTACGCGGGGAGAGAGACAAGAGTTATCGTCACGTAGGAAAGTAAAACACAACATACTTGAATAGGGGAACCAGTGGCAGACTTCCCAGGCTAGTGGCGAGGCGGGGTCAGCATGCCAGTAAAGAACGTTGCCATACGAGTCTACTCTAAAACACGCCGGATCAAAACCAGCATTGCTGCGCAAAGAAATCCACAATACTTTTTAGCAAGAGACAAGCAAAAAACTACTTTTTACCCGAGGTGATCAAGCTGCTGCCAGAGAACATCCTTGAATTTGTGGAGATGCGAGGGATGCTCCTTTCTGGTGTCACTGAGAACGATCGGGAACAAATCTTGGACTTCTTCCAGCTTTGCAACCTGGAAAGAACTCGTTGGAACAAAACCCTACCACAGTAAGAAACCGCACCTCTTCCGGACGAGCAGTGTAGGGAAGAAACGCTCTGGGAGGGCCATCTGCGTGAGGCAGCAAGAATCCCTGGAGCTGGAGCCAGGCACAGGCGTTCCGGCACAGCTTCGCGTAGGCCCGAGGATACCCCAAGTGAGGATCGACCCTGCGATCTTCGTCCGAGAAGCAAATCCCCGCGGCCACCACTGAATCTTTCCTGCTTCCCATGAAAAATCGACCCAAGAACTAGCCTAGCCTTCGATCTGGAGCGCCGGAGGCGAAATTTCAGGCATTTCTTGGCCAAGAATCTTGGCGCTGCTGCGCGGCATTGTGGCGCCCTCCCCCCGGGCTCGCGAATTCGTGCGCGCCTAATAATCCTAGGTCACACCCCTCTCCGACCCGCCGGCGTCATCACTCCAGAGAAGAAACGACCAAACAACACCCGACCTCTTCATTCATTCGAAGCAAACGGCTAGAAAATTTGTGTCAATCCAACGGCTCAAATTCCCACCTGTACGGACATGTTTGGAAGGGAGCATATTCCTTTAGGGTTCTTGGCAGGCTAGGGTTCTAGGCAGTGTAAGCGGCGGAGATTGAGCGGCAGCGATGGCGAAGTCGAAGAATCACACTGCCCACAACCAGTCGAGGAAGGCGCACCGCAATGGCATCAAGAAGCCCAAGAGGCAGCGCTACACCTCCAAGAAAGGGGTAAGTAGAGATTTCTATAGAAATTTGTGATTGATCGATCCGAATACCGGCAGATGGATCCGAAATTCCTGAGGAACCAGCGCTACTCGAGGAAGCGCATGGCGCTGCTAGCGAAAGAGATCGTGAAAGAAGAATCCTAGATAGAAGAATGCTTGTCCCAATTTTCGATTTAATCCAGCAAAAGAATTTGCGTTGCTCATAAACCCTAAATTTCTACAGTGTTCTAGCGTTAGGGTTCTTGGTTGCCATAGCAATGGAGGCGTACAAGGCGTGGGTGCGTGGCAATCGGCAATGGCTCGCTTCAATCGAGAGCATTGCTACGGTGAGATCTGTCGCACCGCTCTTGGTCCTGAGATTTTCTTGCTTTCCAGACCATGACTTGGCTGCTGCCAGAGAGGTTTGCGAGCTCGGAGCTGGCTCCGGAAGCGCGTAAGGAATTTTCTTTGGCCATTCCGTCCAGCATTTTGTTCTGATCGCGATCGTGGCAGTGTCGACGGCGATTGGGCTCGTCACGGTGATGAATCAATATATTGTGGAGTCTGCCAGTCCCAAAAATCTTCCCCCATTCATGCGCAGCGGCGCAGACGATCGTGACAAAAGCATTCCTTGGCCGATTTTCATCTCGATTGTGAAAGAGCTCGAGGTGTTGGTGGAGCTGACTGCCGAGCACTACCGCGGTCCAAATGGGAAATGGAGCACTCTAGCCGTCGTGGAAGCGATCAAGTAAGCTTTATTTCTATGAAGAAGAGAATTTTCTGCTAACTTTGTTTGCTCTATAGGGTCTTGATCAGGCTAAAGATTTTCCACGACAGTGGATACAAGATGCTCATCGATGGAGGAGAGTCCGAGAATCAAGAGGAGGCCTCGTACTGCGATCCTTACGCGAGACGAGGAGCTAGAACAAGCGGTCGACCACAAAACGTTCAAGGAAAAGCTATGGGAGCCTTGTATAGCTTTGGAAACAGCCTCTCTGGAAGACCATCGTGGCTACAAAAGAGGGACGCTGCTCAACAACGTAAGAACATCACCTCTCCTTCGTTCGAGTTCTCACTTTGGTTTCTTCTAGCTGTGCAAAGAGGCTTGCTCTCGCTTTGGAAGCAACCAGCCGCTAGGTGGTTCATCGTCGGTGAAACTTCTCTCATCTTGAGACCACTGATCTACGTTTTTCTCATCCGCCGATACGGACTGAAGTCATGGAAACCTTGGCTGGCTTCACTCGCCATAGATCTTACGGGTTTCAGCATCTTGTTTTTGACAGATCAATGGAGTAGCAAGAGTAGCAACGAGTCCTTGATAATTTCTCAAGGGAGTCCATCCAGACCACTATCAGCTGCCGAAAAGAATGAGGCAAGTTCTAAAGCTTTCCACATCTCAAGGAGGTTTTTTAATCTTTTGTTCATTGCAGCTTAAGCGACGACAACTCTTGTGGGCTTTCTATCTTCTCAGGAGTCCCTTCTTCGACACATACTCGAGGTAGCTTTGCGGACTTTCGTCACTGCTAGTATCAATCCTTTATTTGCAGACACCAATTCCAAAGGATCGGAAAGGTAGCAAAGCCTCTACCTTTGTTCGGCACCTTGGCATCCAAGGCGATGGAGCTGCTAGCGGGAGTCCAAAGCATTTACTCGTACACTGCCGCGTCGTGACGAGAGAAGAACCGTAAAGATTTAAGATGGACCAGCGATTGGGTTCTTATTTTAGGGTTTCTATGTCGAGCTCCGCGATGAATGAATCCAGGCTCCACGAGAAGAGGTGGGGATTGATCGATCTCTTGCCCAGCGTGACCCCTGAGTGTTTTCTTGCAGCGTCGAGGAGCTCCGGAAGCTCTTGTCGGATAAAGACGCGTATGAGAGTTACCTCCATTCGATCGAGGAGGTGAAGCAACTGGACACGGTGAGCGTGGTTTCTTTCTTCTTGGCTGGATCCCTTCTTATTTGGGAATTTTGGCAGCTCCGGAACGATTTAAGAAAGAGCAATGTGAACCTCGCAAGTGAGTGATTGATTGTTCTTTGTTGAACAAAAAACTCATTGTTTTTGCTTGTCAGGACATAATTTGGGGAAGGAGTCCGAGATGGCTGAGCTTAGAAACCAGGTATGCTTCTTTTCTCGTGTAAAAAATTGTATTTTTCGTCTTTTTAAAATTTTTTTCTCTGTGTGCAGTGTATGATCATCAGAACGACCGAGTTGGCCACAGCACAGGAGAAGTTTTCAGACGCTCAGCGGCGAGAGAAAGAGATCCTGGCGAGGAGCTCGCCAGCATCAATCTTAAACAAGCTACAAGGTCTAGAGAGAGTTTTTTCTTCTTCTTCTTCTTCTTTGCTGACGACGCGTGTATTGATTCATTCCAGAGGCAGCCAACGCGGCGGACGACGAATCCGAAAGCTTACACCACAAGCTACTGAGCGGCGAGCTTGAGTTCCCGGAGTTTCTCCAAAAGTATAGGCAGCAAAGGGTTCTCTATCACCGAAGAACTTTGCTTCGCCTGGCCGCTCTGGCCGGGTGATCGATCTTAGAGATCTCATAGCGCTGCGCACTGGTATCTTCAATTTAAACCCTTTCGCCGATTAACAGCCTTTCTCTCCTTTTCGTGTGCCTTTTAGAGCGAGTATTTTATCCTTCGTAGCGCTTTTAGGGGAGGAAACAGGAAAGGTGAAAGGAGGAGCAACGATGCCCGCGGCAGTGGCTAGCATTCCGGTATGGCAGTTAGCAAGCAGTTCTTCAAATGGGTCACGGGTAGCAGCATGCCCAACAAGTGGCCTTCCGTCACCTTCGTGCTTCACAAGTCGGGCGACGATGGGGACGTGCTCCTTGTGGGGTTGCAACGTCGCCAGGAAGAGCGTCCGGGATGGAAGCCCAATGCCCGAGGCTGCGTCCATGCCGGCTGTGACGCCGCTCGCGGATCTCTACGACTTTATCTGCAAGGGGCCGCTGCTGGAGAGGATTGGATTGGATGCCGAGGACGTGAGGCGGGACATGAACGAGTGGATTGAGATGGGACTGAGGCTGTCTCGGATCCTGGGCTTCAGGGAATTGATGCTCAGCGAGTCGGAGAAGGCGAGAGTTTATCACTACTACCTGCCGGTGTATATGTGGTGCAAGAGGGAGCTGGAACGCCATCGCGGCCGGTTTAACGACGGCGATAAGCCGATTCCTGCGTTAGTGGTAAGACTTTGTTTTGTGTTTCCGAGGCTTCTGTTAGCTGCTGTTAGTGCATGCATGGCGCACTTTCCTTACGATGTTTCTGAAACATGGAGTTGGTTTTTCTGTGTTGCAGATTGGGATTAGTGCACCTCAAGGTTGTGGGAAGACTACGCTTGTGGATGCTCTTGAGTACATGTTCAACTATTCTGGAAGGTATGGTGTTTTGTTCATTGGCAGAAGGACGTAACCTGTGTCTTGTTTTTTCCAGAACCGCTGCGTCAGTGTCAATTGATGACTTCTACCTTACAGCAGCCGATCAGCAAACACTTGCGAAAGAGAATCAAGGCAACTTGCTTTTGGAGGTAAGAAGTTGCTGACCTTGGTGCGTTTCTTACAATTGCTTACAGCTTCGTGGAAACGCTGGAAGCCACGACTTAGATCTTGGGACTCAGACAATAAAGTCCCTTCAAAATCTTGCCGAAGGTCTGTCAGGATTGTTTGTTGTGCTACATATGCTAACATCTCGCTTTTTTATTTTTCAGGAGAAGTGGCCAGTGTGCCACACTATGACAAGTCTGCGTACAATGGTCGAGGTGATAGATCAGATCCATCGACATGGTCCAAAGTGACAGGACCATTGCAGGTATTCGTTGTTGTTTTTTTTTTACGCACAGCTCTTCTCAAACGCGTTGGAACAGGTGATTTTGTTCGAAGGATGGATGCTGGGCTTCAAGCCGTTGGGTAAAGCCGCAGTTAGCTCCGTGGATCCTCAGGTAACTTGTTTTGATTACTTAGGAACTCTTGTTCGGTTGCTTAAACCCGGTGGTTGTGTCTCCTGATGCAGCTGGAAGTAGTCGACAAGAATTTGGTGGCCTATCAAAAAGGCTGGTTCAGTCTTGTGGATTCATGGATAATTGTCAAAGTGGACGATCCCGGTTGGGTGTATGAGTGGCGTCTTGAGGTACTAAAGAAACATTTGTTTCGCTTCGAGGCATTCTAATAATGTCGTGGGTACAGGCAGAGATCGCTATGAAGGCCAAAGGCAAACCTGGCATGAGCGATGAACAGGTATCAATCAACTCAAGTTTCTTTAGAAAACTTAGAAAGCTTCCTCACTAGAAAACGAGCTGACCATAAGAATACTTTGCAGGTTGCGGACTTCGTGGCGAGATATATGCCCGCATACAAGGCGTACCTCGAAACTTTGTACAGCGAGGGACCTGGCAACGCGAAACCAGACAACGTCCTCAAGTTTTCCATCGACAAGAACAGGAACCCGGTTGGATAAGTCAATCGATCAATCCAACGCGAGGTTCGTTTGTGAAATCAAGAATGCTTGTCCTTCGTTTTATGCAGTGGAGATGTGCAATATAATTAAGGATTTCACATGCTGCTACTGTAGTGGTTGTTCTCCTGAAGGCGACGGACTGTTAGAAATTCCGCTTTTTCTAAGGAGGTGATGTCCTTTGTGTTTCCTTTTGCTAACCTAGGATAGAAGCTAGCTTTGTAGCAATGGGAGCTCTTTCAGGGAGGACACTGGTCCTAGCAGGAACTAGAGCCTGGTTCTTCGCTAACAGCAGCAAGAATGGTGGTCTCAGAGTACCCGCATTTTTCCGGCTGGGCTTTGTGATTTGCATTCTGCTACTCGCAGTGGTGCTGCTCATCTTGGTCAGTGCAGAATGGAACCAGAGCTGGAAATCGTCTCAGAAAGCCCGAGCTGCTGCTGCACTGTCGGCGGAATTCGGCGTCTTGGGTGTTCCCTGGTGCAAGTAAGCATCGAGTTTGTGATTTGGAATCTCTCCTCGGCTAAAAAGTTTCGTTTTTTTCTGTATTTTCTTTAGAGCGAAGGAAGGCTCTGCGGTTCCTTGGACGAGAGAGGAGCTCGTACAAGGATTGCAGGAGTTTGTTCCGGTGTACAAGAAGAGACCCATCAAGAACAATGCTTTCGGGATGGGCTTTGATCATTCCTTCGGCCTTTGGTTCCTGGCTCGTCAAGTGAAACCTTTGCTCCTCATCGAAAGCGGCGCGTTCAAAGGGCACTCGACGTGGGTCATGAGACAGGCTCGGCCGGAGACACCGATAATCTCGATAAGTCCCCGCCATCCAGAAAAGTACCTCAAGAAAGGTCCCGCATATGTGGATCGCAACACTCGCTACTTCGCAGGAAAGCAGTTCGTGGATTTCGGAAGCGTCAAGTGGAACAAAGTTCTCGAGGAAGCTGGTGTTCAGGACAGGAGCAGGATACTTGTGTTCTTCGACGACCACCAGAGCCAGTTGAAAAGGTACATTTCTTTCTTGAGCAAACTTTCCTCTTTTTCTTACAACCAACTTGGATGTCAGGATCAAACAAGCCAGGGATGCTGGATTCCAGCACCTCGTCTTCGAAGATAACTACGACACCGGGACTGGCGATCACTACTCGCTCCGGCAAATCTGTGACCAGCTCCACATAGAAGGTATTGGTTTTGTAGTAGCTTTCACTTTCCCTAGTCGCTTCGTTTCGTTGCTTTCTTTTTTTTGCTTTTCAAGTTTCTCCGTTTTCACGTTTTGTAGCTTCTTTTTCTTCGCAGGTGGCGGACACAACTGTGACCCCGAAAGCGAAGAGGCACGAACGAGACAGTACAGGAGCAAGAAGTGGGAAAAAGCGATGGACTCGTCCCAACTTTGTGGAGGCGGCGGCGAGTGGTGGGGCGTCCGCGGCGAGATGCGTGACAACTTCAACCATAGCAACGCTCCGATCTCTCACCAGCAGCACCTCCACAATGGCCGGCTGGTGGAATCGATGCTCCAGCTCTACTGGGAGCTCCCGCCGGTGGCTGGCCCGAGCCTGACCAAGCAGAACCGCTACGACCCCGCCAGGAGCTCCAGGCCGCTGGTGGGCGATGGAGACCGAACTCTCTTCCGGAAGCTCGGCCTCCATAGCTTGGAAAAGCGAGTTTTCAATGGCTACACACAGATGGCCTACGTTCGTCTGCTAAGCAGCAGCTAAAAATCGGTCTTTTATGTGAAAAGATGATTCTTTGGCGTGAGAATAGTTAGATTAAACAATTGTAATTGTCTTTTTCACCTGTGATGGAAATGTTCTTTTACGAAGACTTCTATCAAAAGTAAGCCACGCCTTTTCTCCTTTTGCATCGCGTCGTACGGACGGAAGAAGAAAGGGTAAATTTCAAGTTACGGACTGACGTGTAAATCCCAGCTTAAACAAAATGGCGTTTTAAAAGTGTTTTCTTTTTCCCCCTTGGCTATGGTGTTCTTGGAGCTCTTTAGTTTTCCCCCAAGGCGCTAGGGTTTCGCGTGCGGGGATCTAGGGCGCCTTGCTGGGAGCTGCGACGCCGGGCGCGATCTTCGCCTCACAGGTACGATCTCTCTCGCCACTGCTCGGCTCGGATGCATTTCGGCAGAAATTCGCGAAATTTCTCGCTTCTCGCTCTTCCATTGCGATGGCTTTCTTCGAGAGGCTCCTCGAATCGCATTTTCTTGCTCCAGCGCTCGCAACGTTCATTTTTTAAAAATCTTTCCAATTTTTCTTTTTCTTCTCCATTCTTGTTTTCCTCGGATGAGTGTGGCAGCTGTTCTAGACTGCATGCATGGTCACTGAGACAACGGTTTTTGTTTTTATTGCCGCAGGAAAACAACGCACTAAAATCCACTTGCGATGTGACTTCTCGTCTGGGATGAAGAGGTTGCCTGGGAATGGAGCTCAAGGCAATTCTCCTAGGGGTTTTAGCACTCTGGCTCACTCTGGGAAGTTTTTCCATCGAATTCTCAAGCGCCCACAACATCGTCAATGACTTCCAGGCACAAGCTTCCCATCTCGGCTGCTCACCATTTGCCAAGTCTTCGCCGGTTCACTGTGAAGAAGACTTACATGGAACCGGCTCGTTCGACACGACTTGCTACTTGGAAGAGAGTGTGTCGGTGGACAGGGATCTCTGCATCGCCGGCGCGGGAAATCTCAGCATCTCTTCCGACGTGACACTCGACTGCCCCTTCTCCGGATGCACCATAGTAGCTAGTCTCTCCGGGGACGTGATTCTGGGGGTGAATGCGTCCATCGTTGCGGGAACGATCGTCATCCAGGCCGAGAACACGTACTTGAGGGCGAACTCGTCACTTTCATCGCTTGGTCTCGGTGGAGCACCACCTGCACAGACAAGTGGCACTCCCTCAGGGCTCGAAGGCGCTGGTGGCGGTCACGGGGGACGAGGGGCTTGCTGTGCCACCAAAGATCAAGGTGATATATGGGGCGGTGACGTCTATGCTTGGTCGTCGCTTGCTACGCCTTGGTGCCATGGAAGTCGTGGAGGTAGCACGAGCGAGACTGTAAACTATAGTGGTGGTGGTGGTGGCCGGATCAACGTCACAGTAATGCACGCTTTGGAGCTGAATGGGACTATTAGTGCAGATGGAGGATCCGGGGGGGAGAAAGGTGGTGGTGGCTCTGGTGGTAGTGTTATTGTGGGGGCTGCTAGATTGTGAGTATTTGGTCTTTCTCTTTTTTACTTTTATTCTTTGCCTTACTCGGAAACGTTTGTAGGACAGGAGTTGGGACATTAACGGCTAGAGGAGGCGATGGTCGAGGTGGGGGAGGCGGTGGTCGCGTGGCTGTCAAGTGCTATAGGCAGGAAGATGTCTCCATTTACGTCCATGGTATAAGCTCAATGATTTGCATTTGATTTGATTTCAACTGAGCATTTCAACCGGTTTGATGTTTCCAGGGGGGAGTAGCTTTGGCTGTCCAGAAAATGCTGGGGCCGCAGGAACGCTCTTTTATGTCGTTCGGCAGAGCTTAACCATCAGCAATAACAACAAATCGACTGTGACTGATACTCCTCTACTGGACTTCCCTACACATCCTCTCTGGGTGGATGTGGAAGTGCTCTGTAGAGCTAGAGTGGTAGTTCCGCTGCTCTGGAGTAGAGTTTTGGTACGTCACTCGACTACTATGTTTGTTAAGGCATTGACGACATTTTGGTGTTGTCCAGGTTCGAGGGCAGATAAGTTTATCGTACGAAGGGACACTTATATTTGGCTTGGCTCACTATCCAAGCTCTGAGTTTGAACTTGTTGCGGAGGAGGTTGTTATGGAGAATTCAATAATCAAGGTGATGTTCGTGTTTTGAAAGCTAGAATCTTACGAGGCTTTGCGACGCAGGTTTATGGAGCTCTCAAGCTGTCTGTAAAGATGCTGTTGATGTGGAATTCTATTTTGCAAATTGATGGTGGCGGAGATGTCATGGTCAGCACATCCACTATGGAAGCCAGCAACTTGGTGTTTATAAGGGTGAGCTTTAAAATCCGTGAATGTGGTCTAATGTTTCTTATTGTCAGGGTAAATCAGCTTTGCAATCCAATACAAATCTTGGCATTCATGGACAAGGGATGCTTAAGTTGGCCGGTGCTGGTGACTACATCAGAGCTCAAAGACTATTTCTGTCGCTTTTTTATAACATTCATGTAAGTTTGATAAATTTTCCTAGAATCTGAGCATTAACAGCATTTGTGGCGTTCTAGATTGGTCCAGGCGCCATGTTATTAGCTCCACCCGATGAGACTACAACTACAGACGAGTATGTATGTCGACGAACTTCGACATCTATTAATCTTGTTTCCAGGTCTTCAAAACTTTATTGCGACACCTCCAAATGCCCTGCCGAGATTATCAATCCTCCGGAGGACTGTACCTTAAATGTTTCACTCCCTTTCACCCTTCAGGTGCGGTCTTCGTGATTTAAAGTCCTTGTTGAGCTGAATGTTTATGCTATAGATATGCCGTGTGGAAGACATTGCAATTGACGGTGTTATACGGGGTAGTGTCGTCCATCTTCAACGTGGCAGGACTGTTACAGTCAATCCCGGAGGACTCATATCAGCTGCTGGCCTTGGTACGTAGGTTTCAGTCTGCTTGAAAGGCTCATTGTCTTGCTCGCAGGATGCAAAGGTGGTCTTGGAAAAGGTCACTCGTCTTCGTCAGGCGCTGGAGGAGGTGGAGGATTTGGAGGCAGAGGTGGCAAAGGGTATTACAAAGGCAGCTGGAGCGAGGGAGGAGATACTTATGGAAAGAAAACTCTTCCATGCGAACTAGGAAGTGGTGGTGGAAATTCTTCAACCTCAAGTAAAAGCAGCAGTGGTGGTGGAGTGATTGGTACGTAAGATAAATTTTCGAATTCATCTCTAATTTCTTGCTTTTGCAGTTATGGGATCGCAAAATCACCCTCTTTCAACTCTCGAAGTTTATGGAACTATCAGCGCTGACGGTGGAAGTCTTACCAACTCGAGTGGTTCCGATGCCAAAGAAGAAACAGGAGCTGGTGGTGGATCCGGCGGTAGTGTTTTGCTCTTCCTTCAAAATCTGGCCTTGCAAAATGGATCAGTCCTTTCTGCGGGTGGAGGCGAAGGTGGGTATGTAGGTGGAGGCGGTGGCGGCGGCGGACGAGTTCATTTTCATTGGTCAAACGTACCAACTGGAGACGATTTTGTTGCAATTGCAACGATAAAAGGACTTATACATACCAAGTACGCAGTTCTTGCAGTTTTGGTTCAATGTCAGAGGCTTTTTGTTACCTTTCAACAGAGGTGGAAATGGAGGGGATATTGGCTATGCCGGAGACGATGGTACCATAACCGGAAAAGAGTGCCCAAGCGGTTTGTTTGGAGTTTTCTGCATGGTAAGTTTTTTGCAACAAGAGAAATAAAGTTCACACTTAGTGATTCTCTTTTGACAGGAATGCCCTGTTGGAACATACAAGAATGACTCTGGCTCGGATGCTTCCTTGTGCAAACCTTGCCCTCCGGAAAAATTGCCTCGGCGGGCTTCTTATGTCTATGTTCGTGGTTAGTGTTTTGATTTATGTGTTTCAAACTCTCTACGCAACTCTGGCTTTGTTTTTCAGGAGGAGCACTCAAGCCTACATGCCCCTATCAGTGCAATTCCGATAAGTACAGGATGCCAAACTGTTATACACCATTAGAAGAGTTGATATATGCGCTGGGAGGACCTTGGCTATTTACTCTGCTCTTATCTGGTCTTATGATAGCTTTGGCTCTCGTGCTGAGCATTGCTCGTGCGAAGCTAGTCGGTACAGACGACTTCTCTGGGCCTACTCCAGCCCCACAGGGCGCTCATATTGATCATTCCTTTCCCTTCTTGGAATCTTTAAATGAGGTACGCCTTGCCTGTGGATGTCTGTTTCTTTTTTCTTCTTTAACTTTTTGCATCTGGCAGGTCTTAGAGACCACAAGAGTCGAAGAATCCCAAAGCCATGTACATAGGATGTTCTTTATGGGATGTAATTCTTTCGCAGAGCCTTGGCATCTTCCTCATTCTCCGCCCGAGCAAATCGTTGATCTTGTGTACGTTGAATACTTCACCTTCAATTTACTGTCGACTAAGTTTCTTGTACAGGTACGAAGACGCTTTCAACAGATTCGTTGATGAGATCAATTGCCTTGCAGCGTACCAGTGGTGGGAAGGGTCTGTGTACAGCATACTGTGCTTTGCTGCATATCCCGTTGGCTGGTCATGGCAGCAGTGGCGCCGGAGGAGAAAAGTTCAGCAACTTCGTGAGTTTGTAAGGTCCGAGTATGATCACGCATGTTTACGTTCGTGTAGATCACGAGCACTGTACGAGGGCCTGAAGGTTTGTAGTGCAAAGCTTCTCGCTGTTCTAAGTTGCAAATTTTTTCAGGTGGCTGCAACCGCCGAGCTAGTCCTGGGTTATATTGACGTCTTTCTGGGTGGCGACGAGAAACGACCGGATTTACCTCCTAAGCTAATGCAAAGGCTTCCAATGTCAATCATTTTTGGTGGAGATGGTAGCTACATGGCTCCCTACCACCTTCACAGCGATAACCTTTTGACAAGTCTCATGGGACAGGTTTGGCTGTCCTTACAAGTTGATGCTTGCTTCAAACATTCAACTCTATGACAGGCTATACCAGCGACCATATGGTATCGAATGGTAGCCGGCTTAAATGCACAGCTAAGACTGGTCCGCAAGGGGCGGCTAAGATCTACGTTGATACCAGTTATTGAGTGGCTGAATTCGCATGCAAATCCGAGGCTGGAGCATCACGGTGTCGCTGTTCGTTTGGCATGGTTCCAGGCCACTGCCTCTGGATAC